CTGTGTGTGTGAGTGTGTGGCTGTGTGTGACTGCAGCTGTGTGTCTGTGTGTCTGTGTGTGACTGGAGCTGTGTGTGTGTATGTGTGTCTGTGTGTGTCTGTGTGTGACTGCAGCTGTGTGTGTGTATGTGTGTCTGTGTGTGACTGCAGCTGTGTGTATGTCTGTGTGTGACTGCAGCTGTGTGTGTGACTGTGTGGCTGTGTGTGACTGGAGCTGTGTATATGTACCTGTGTGACTGTGTGTGTAACTGAGGGTCAGGTAACTGTACGTGAAATGGTGTGTGACTGTGCCCATGTGATTGTATATTTGACTTTGTGGCTGTACCTATGTGTGTGACTGTGTGTGGCTTTGTGACTATGTGGCATTATATACGTATATGTGACTATGAGATTGTGTGTGTGGCTGTTGCTGTATGTATGTGACTCTGGCTGTGTGTGGCCATGTGCGTGGTTCTGTTTATATGTGGCTGTGTGACTGACTGTGTATGTGACTGAGATTGTGTGTGGTTGTATAACTGTGTATGTGACTCTGTGTGTAACTATAGCTGTGTGACTGTGTGTGACTGTGAGACAGTGTGACTATATGTCTGGCTGTGAGATTGTGTGTGACGTGTGTATGTGACAGATAGTGTGACTTTGTAAGACAATGCGGCTGTGTTGCTCTGTGTGTGTGTGTATGTGTGTGTGGCTATGTGACTGAGATCATACATGGTTGTGCATATATGTGACTATATGTAGCTGTGTGTGTGACTGAGATTGTGTATGGCTGTGTGAATGGGTGTGGTTGTATGTATATGTGAGTGACTGTGAGACAGTGTGACTGTGGGATGGTGCGTGGCTGCAAAGCTGTGTGTGACTGCATGTAACTGTTGCAAGAGGAGACTATGAGACTGTGTGTACCTGTGAGATTATGTGGGACAGTACTTGTGTGACTGAGATTGTGTGTGGCTGGGTGACTATATGACCCCACTTTGGCTTGTCTTCACGGAACAGTAGTGCTGGGCTCTGGGTGACATGGGGAGCCCTGCCCCTGTCCTGAGGCACACCCCATAATGCCCTCCTGTGCCCGCAGACGTGGACGAGTGCAGCATCAACAACGGGCGCTGTGATCAGGGCTGTGCCAACACCAAGGGAAGCTATGAATGTGTCTGCCCTCCAGGGCAGCGGCTGCACTGGAACCGGAAGGACTGCGTGGGTGAGTGCCAGGGACCAGTGCAGAGCACCCGTGGATAACCCCTGGGCCCTGTGCACAAGGCCTGGCACTGGCCCGCAGGAGGGGTGGAGACTGGCCAGGTGAGCAGGGAGGCCCTCTGCAGGACTCGAGATGACCGGGCAGAGCCTCGCTTCCACATCATGGCCAGTGAGATAAAGGGCTGGCCGCAGGGCACATCCAGGTGAGAGTGAAGCCTTCGTGCCCCCTAGACCCAGAGCCCCCCAGAGCCTGACAAACCAGGCACCTGCAGGACTGGACAGGCCGAACAGAGCTCTGGAGGTCAGCAAAGCTGTGAGGTGCAGGAATCTTGTGGGGTCTTGAGAGGATCCAGGAACTTAGGAGGAGGGCCCATGGAGGCCTCACCACGTCCAGATGGTCCCATGAAGGGAAGAGACGAAGGCATCTGGGCAGGATGCCCACTTCTGGACACCCCCAGCCCCACAGTGGAAACAGGAGGCTTCTGGATAGGGTAGGGCCCAGACACCCTTTCCTGGGTGCCCAGCCCAGGGCCCCTCTCTGCTGAGTTCTCTCCAAATAAGTGCCAACCCGCTGCCTGCTCTGAGAGGGTCTCTCCGTGGTGCAAATGGTTACGTGCTCAGCCACTAACTGAAGGGAGGACCAGCTGTCCTCAGAAGCCTGAGACCCAGCTTCCGAAAGTTCCCAGCCCCGAGGAATCCAGCGTGCAGTTCCAGCCTGGTCCACGTGGGGCGCCGCTCTGAACCCTGTCCTGAGCCAACCTCACTGCCTTCAGCACCTCTGCCCCTAGTAGTCCAGTCTCTGTGTAGGTCCATCTCACCAAGTGTTCTTCCTCTCCTGCGCTGTCCCTCTACCCTTCCAAGTACGATGCCCTTCTCCAAGGACTAGTCCCTTCTGGAAACATGCCCAAAGTCTGTCAGACAGAGCTTCAAACTATGTCAAAGAGATCTTGCCTCCGGAGAACAACGTGGTTTCACCCTCTCCAGGGTAGACCTGTTTGTTCTCTTGGCAGTCCATGGTATGTTCAATATTCTTCTCCAGCAGCACAACTCGAAAGCATCAATTCTTCTGTCATCCTTAGTCAATTTTCAGCTCTCTGATGCATAGCAAGTAATTGTAAAGACCATGGCCTGGATCAGTCACACCATGGTCTCTAGCCTGACATCTTTGCATGTCAGCACTGTGGAGAGGTCCCTGACAGCAGACTGTCCTAATCCAATTTGTCTTTTTATTTCCTGGCTGCTAGGACCAAAAGGCAACATCATGATGGATGGGGAGGAGATTGAAGCTGTCAACAGTTTCATCTTGCGTGGATCCACAATCAATACCCTTGGTACTAGCAGTCAGGAAATAAGGAGATGCATTGCACTGGGAAAATCTGCAGTTAGGGACCTCTCCAAGTTATTGAGGAGTAGTGATGACAGTTTGAGGACTAAGGTACGTCTGATCTGGGCCATAGTCTCCCATCACTTGCTATGCATCTGAGAGATGGACAGCAAAAAGGATGAAGGTAAAAGAATTGCTGCCTTTGAGCTGTGCTGTTGGAGAAGAGCACTGAACATCCTTGGATGGCCAAGAGAACAGATATGTCTTGGAGAACGTGAAGCCAGAATGCTCTTTGGAGGCAAGAATGATGAGGCTTTGCCTCACGTACTTTGGGAATGTTGCTTCTTATTTTTATGTGCCATCAATTATGTGCTTGCAACTAATAGCAACCCTGTGTACAACAGCCCTAAACCCTGCTCTATCCTGTGCCAACCTTATTGTCTCTGACACACCTACCCCCACCACCCCAGTGACAGAATCAATCCATCGCAACAACAGTCTTCTTCTCTTACACTGTTCCTTTACCCTCCCAAGCATGATGTTCTTCTCCAAAGACATGTCCCTCCTTGCAACATGTCCAAAGTATGTCAGACAAAGCTTCAGAATCCTTGCTTCCAAGGAGAAGCCTGATTTCATCCTCTCTAGGATGAACTTGCATGTTCTCCTGGCAATCAATAGTATATTCAATACTCTTCTCCAGCACCACAGCTCAAAGGCATCAATTCTTTTATCATCCCTAGTTATTGTCCAGATTTCTGATGCATAGCAAGTAATTGCAAAGACTATGGCCTGGATCAGGTGCACCTTAGTCCCTGGACTGATGTCATTGCTCTTCAGCACTCTGGCGAGGTCCCTGACAGCAGACTTTCCCCAATGCAATTCATCTTCTAATTTCCTGGCTACTTGTGCCAAGAGTGTTGATTGTGGAGCCAAGAAAACTGAAGCTGTTAACAGTCTCAAACTCTTCACCATCTGTCATGATGCTGCCAGTTAGCCCAGTGGTGAAAATCTTTGTTTTCTTGATGTTGAGCTTCAATTTCTTGGAAAAAGATGTGATGCTGGAAAGGGTGGAGGGTCGGCGAAGAAGAGGAAGACCCTCAACCAGGTGGATTGACAAAGTGACTGCCACAATGGGCTCTAGTGTGTCAGGAATGTGAGGATGGAATATGACAGGATTCAGATCCACTGTTATAGGGTCACTGTGACTCATTCTCGACTTGATAGCACCTAACAACAACAACAGTTCCAAGAGTGTTGATTTGTGGACTGAGCAAGCTGAAATTAATAATCTCAATCATGGTGCTGCCAATTGGCCTAGTAGTGATAATGTGTGTGTGTGTGTGTGTGTGTGTGTGTGCGCGCGCGCGTGCATGAGCGCGCGCGTGTGCTGTTGATTTGGCAATCAAGTTCAGCACAACTTAAGAACAAAAGGCCTAAAGCCCCTCTATAACTATCAACATTTATCAACGTTCATAGAGTTTCCAGAGGCATGTTATTTAGGAAGTGGATGCCACTCCTGCTTATATCTATATTTATATCTAGATATCTAGAGATAGAGATAGGGATAGATGAGATAGATGAGATAGAGAGATAGAGATAGATAGATAGATAGATAGATAGATAGATAGATAGATAGATAGATAGAGATATATACTGAGAGAGAGAGTATTCAGGGACTCAGGGAGGGGGATGGGGAGGGAGGAAAATGTGCAACAATGAATGAAAAATCTAACATTTTGTAAACTTTCATTAAAATCACTATACATATCATTATATATGTATATATATATATATGTATAGTGATTTACCATATATGTATGTATCTATATACATATGTAGTGCTTTTAATCAAAGTTTACAAAAACACTCAAGCCCATTGCTGAAGTCACCGTGTCATTACATCTCATTGGGGATTGTCCTTGCTTTCACTGTCCCGCCCTCTTTCCAAGCATGTTGTCCTCGTCCAGTGAAGAACCTTGCCTAGCTGCATGTCCGGAGTATGAAAGACGAACCTTCACCTTGTTTGTCTCCAAGGAGTACTCCAGCTGCACCCTCTCCAAAGCATATGTTTGTTCTCTTGGCAGTCCATGGGATATTCAATACTCTTCTCCAGCACAACTCAAAGGCATGCTTTTTTCTTTCTTTCTGTCATCCTTATTCATTGTTCACTCTGTGATCAGCTCTATACTGACTGTCCCCACTCCCAAGAAAGGTGATCCAACAGAATATGGAAATTATCAAACTTGAAGCCTTTCAGCTGTGGTGCTGGAGAAGAGTTTTGAACATATCATGGACCACCAGGAGAATAAATTGTCTAGGAGATGGTGAAACCAAGTTTCTCCTTGGAGACAAGGATTTTGAGGCTCCGTCTCATGTATTTTGGGCATGTGGCCAGGAGGAATCAGTCCTTGGAGAAAGACATCATGCTTGGAAGGGTGGAGGGACAGTGCAAGAGGGGAAGACCCCAGAGGAGATGGATTGATATAGTAAGTAGGGCAATGGGATTTGGTGTGTTGGAGTCAATGAGACTGACTCAGGATAGGGCCGGGGTCAGAGCTTTATTCATAGGGTTGCTATGAGTTGCCTGCAACCCGATGGCACATAAAAACAAGTTAATTACTATCACAGGCAAGCAGAATACTGCTGAAGATCATTCAGAAATAGGTAGAACATACATAGATAGGGAACTACCATGAGTTCACACAGGATTTAGAAGAGGCCTTGGCACCAGGGATATCATTGCTGATGTCAGCTGGATCCTGGCTGAAAGTAAAAAGTACTAGAAGAGTGTCTGTTTGTCCTTTATGGACTATGCAAGGTGCTTTACTGTATAGATCCGTAGATAATAACAGATTATAGCTAACACTGAGAAGAATGGGAATCCCAGAACACTTAACTGTGCTGTGAAACCTACACACTGACCAAGAGGCTTCTATGCAAACAGCAGGGGAGCACTACATAGTTTAAAATCAAGAAAGGAGTGTATCAGGGCTGTATCCTTTCTCCATTTTATGCAGTCTGTACGCTGAACAAATAATTCAAAAACCACACTTTATGAAGAAGAATGTGTCATCAGGATTGGAAGAAGACTCATCAGTAACCTGTGTTATGCAGATGACACAACCTTGCCGAAAGTGAGGAGGACTTGAGGCGCTCGCTGCAGAAGGTCAAGGACTGCAGCCTTTGGTACAGATTGCATGTCAGCATGAAGGAAACAGAGGTCCTGCCCACAGGCCCAACAGTCGGCTTTGTGATAGATGGAGAAAGGAGTGAAGTCAGTGAGTTCCTCTTCCCTGGATCTACAGTTGGAACCAGCAGTCAGGAAGTCAGAAGACACATTGCATTGGGCAAGCCCGCTGTCAGGGACACTCCACAGAGGTGAAGAGTTAATGGCAGGGTTGCTTAATTGACAACATAATTTACAGAGAAGACTCTTCCCGTCAATGGTAAACATAGGGATTTCTTACTTTGCATTCAACTGTATTTCACGGACCTGTCAGTCCGTCCTTATGCCAGAACCACACAATCTTAATTGCTGTAACATTGCAGTAAGTTGTGAAATCGGGAAGTGTATGTGTGCTCTGTCTTTGATCTTCTGAACAGTCTGGCCCCTGGTGGGGATCAGAGCCCCCAATTCAGGGAGGTCTCCAACCTGCTCTCTCTCAAGCCCTCACTGTCGCCTTCCTTCCCTCAGACACCACCAAGTGCCTCTCCAGGGCCAAGTCCTCGCCCCAGGCCCAGCTGTCCTGCAGCAAGATGGGCAGCGGTGGGGAGAGCTGCCTTCTCTCCTGCCCCGCCCACACCCTCTTCACACCAGGTACCCAGACACCCACCGTGGAAGGGGGGCCAGCAGAGAGGGCAGCCTGAGAGGGAGGTCCCCTGAAGGCCCTCTGAGCACCTCAGTCCCCAGCAGGCTCCTCCTCACCCAGCCCTTCCCCCATAGTCCTGGACAGAGAGGCGGGTGTGAAGGACAATCCTGGCCTGCGTCTCCTTAGGGAGCCCTGAGTCCCCAGGCTCCCCTGACACCCTCCCCTTCCCCCTCCCCCACCCCTCTGCAGACTCAGAAAATAGCTACGTCCTGAGCTGTGGCGTCCCCAGTCTCCACGGCAAGGCACCACAGAAGCACAACGCCACCAGCTCCGGGACCAGCTGCTCAGGTAACCCCCTGACCTGATGGTGCCACACATATCTTTCCATCCAGCACCTCGCTAGAGGGAGAGGGGACCCCAGCATGGGCCCTGGAGAGTCCCAGGGAGGGCTGGGAGCAAAACCAGCAAACCACAGGCAAAAGCCCAGCCGCGGGCCAGAGGAGGTGCTACCCCGCTGCAGACCTGGCCGTCGGAACGGTCAGGAGGACCCCAGAGATGCTGTCATCAGTCACAGCCCACGTGGCCACTGCGTTCTAGCACCTTCCATCCTCTGAGTGTCCCTGAAGCCTTGGTCCTGAACCCTCCCCGAAAGAGGGCTGTGACATCAGCTCCCCCACTTCAGGGTGCCCTTGTACCCTTCCACGTGCCATGTGATCGGAGATTTCTGCGGTCCACGCTTGGAACTGCATTTCTGGGCATCTGTCACAGCTCATGCTCTTTCGTGTCCCTCCTCTCCTGTCCCCTGTCCTGGCCATGAACCTCACCTACTGCCTGGGTGATGGGGGCCGGGAAGGTGAGGGCATCCTTGCCCAGGTCCTCCCTGCTGTCTGTCCCTGGACGTGAACAGCCCCACTGCCTCTCCTTTGCCTTTTTCAGGCCTTGTGGGGTATGAGGAAGGACAGGGCAGATCCCCCATGCCTGGGAGGGCTGTCAGAACACAGTGCCCCCATAGCCCGAGCCCCTGAGTGTCTGGGACCCCAACACTTAGATGCTCCCTCTGCAGCCCCCGTCCCCCACCACCTCCTTGCCCACAGGGGGGACCACCACCTGGGGGCTTTTGGCTTTTCCCAGATGCTCCAGCCCCCCTCATCAAGCAGAAGGCTCGCTTCAAGATCAGGGACGCCAAGTGCCACCTCCGGCCACGCAGCCGTGAGCGAGCGAAGGAAGTCCCACGACAGCCACTGCTGGGTGAGTGGGCAGCCTGGGGCCACCTGGGGGTGAACAGGGGAGCAGGCATCCCCCCACCTCCAAGGTGCTTCCTTCATGTGTCCAGTCACCCAGTGCCTGGCCCGACTCACTCAACAGCTGTGGGCAGCGGTAGTGGCTGTGACAAAGGCTGGAGCTGGAAGGGGGAAGAGGGGTCCCCTGGGCTTAACTGTCTCTCCATTGTCCTGCTGGCCCAGAGCTTGCTGCGTATACGTATAGGGCAGTGACTTCTGAGTGATGGGACTGAGGACATTCCAGGTCAGGAAAGGGTCCTAGGGAGGCATCCCGGTTTCCATGAAGATTCCAGGAGACCTGGAGATTTCTCTCAAATTCCAGAAAACTCCGAGCCCTCTGCAGGCCTGGCCTGGGACCTGAGTGTCCAGCATGAACCCTCTGAGGGCCTGATCTGGGGTCCTCCGGACCAGGCCAAGGGTCTTCTGTGACCTGGCCTAGGGTTCGAGTCTTACAAAATAGACCCTCTGTGGGCCTGGCCCGGGGTCTGAGTCTTGGAGAATGGACCCTTTGCAGGTTAGGCCCGGACCCCAAAGTCCCAGGGATGGGCCCCTCCGGCCCCCGACTGCTGAGTGCCCCCCCCCATCTTCTCCTTGTGCTGACTCAGCAGGTGGTCATGAGCCAGGCTCAGCCACATCCTGGGCCCTGGCGCTGGCCCTGGCCACCTCCACCCTGGGGCTCCCCGTCTGCACCGTGGACTGTGAGGCCAGGTGGCCCCATGGGGATAGCTCTGTGTCCAGAATGAGGCAGGACCCCCCTCCCTGCCCTGTATCTCCTTTCTGCACCATCACAGCCCCTTTCCTTGTCCAGACAACTGCCACGTGACTTTCATCACCCTCAAGTGTGATTCCTCCAAGAAGAGGCGACGTGGCCGCAAGTCCCCATCTAAGGAGGTGTCCCACATCACGGCAGAGCTGGAGGTGGAGGCCAAGCTGGAGGAGGCTTCAGGTAAGTCAGGGGTGCCGTCAGCTCCCCAAAAAGCCGCTAGGAGCCTGGGATGAGAGAGGAGGCCCCAGGGCAACAGGAAAGAGGGGTTCACAGAGACCTCCCCCATCCCACTAGGCCCCAGGATGGGGGAGGAGGCCCTGGGGCAGCAGGAAAGGGGGATTCACAGAGACCCCCCTAAGTCCACCATCCCTAGGGTGGAGGAGGAGACCCCGGGCCTCAGGAGAGAGGGGCTCACAGAGACCTCCCCAGCCCACCAGGCCTCACCTGGTCTGCGAGGTTCATGCCTGCAGCATCTGTTGAGCCTCACCTGGGGCCTGTCCTTCCAAGTTCCCCCAATGGGGACTCCTTCGCACCTTCACTCCAGAGGCTACAAATGAGCCTTCTGTATGAGGAGAGTGGAGAGGAGTCACAGCTGTGTGCTCCGTGTGCCCAGCCCTGGGCACTGGGCTGTGGGGGAGGGACGGGAGATCCACACCCTCCCGGTGACAGGCAGGCATGGGGCAAAGCGCAGAGCCAGGCCTCCCTGTGTGGGGTCAGGACTAGGAGTGTGGGCTCATCACGGAGAGGAGACAGCAAGGAACCACATTCGGGTAGAGGGAGAACCATGTGCTGAGGCCCAGAGGCCAGAAACCTGACGTGGAAGGAGTGGGTGCGCAGCTCAAAGTGGAGTGGAGGTCAGAATGTTGGGAGTTGAGGCTGCCAGGCAGGCAGGGGCCAGTTTGCAAGGGTTCAGAGGTCAAGGTGTAAGAGGTGGACAGTGTCCTAGAAGTCTCCTCCCAGTGGGTTGTGCCCAGGGGAGGTGATATGATGAGGCTCAGCTCTCGGCCACGCCCCTCCGAGCCTCAGTGTCCTCTCCGTCAGGATTGACCACTGCCTCTCTCCCTGGGTTACTATGAGGGTTGGGTGACAAATCCCCAGCCGAGCCCCAGGCGGGCCAGGCACAGGGACACGCTCAGTGGATGACAGTCCCAGCAGGGTTGGGTGGCCATCCTGTGGTCACCCCCGCTGCCCCTCAGACACCTGCAAGGCAGACTGCGTGCGGAAGCGAGCGGAGCAGGGTGTGCAGGCGGCCATCAGGACCCTGCGCAAGTCCATCAGCCGGCAGCAGTTCCACATCCAGGTCTCGGGCGCGGAGTATGAGGTGGCCCAGCGGCCAGCCAAGGCCGTGGAGGGCCAGGGGACATGTGGCGCGGGCCAGGTGCCTCAGGATAGCAAATGTGGTGAGTCCCTGCCTATGTCCACCCCCAGGGGGGCTTGTCACGAGCTCCCTGTCCTTCCTTCCCTGTGTGGGCCTGGTGAGCAGAAGTGGGCACACAGGGACGACAGGTGCGTGGGGAGGGGACAGAGACAGAGGGACGGCAGTGTGTGAGGAGGGGACAGAGACAGAGGGATGAGGGATGACGGGTGCGTGGGGAGGGGACAGAGACAAAGGGACGGCAGTGTGTGAGGAGGGGACAGACACGAGGGACGAGGGACAATGGTGAGTGGGGAGGGGACAGAGACACAAGGGCACAGGAGAGGCCAGCCCTGAAGAAGACCATCTGTGCTCAGAACAGTGGCTGTGTTCAAGGAGGAAGCCCTAGGCCACCCCTCTGGCACCGGGCAGAGTACAACACACCAAGGCCACAGGGTGCTGGGGGTGCTCCTACCAGAGTATGGGATACTTGAGAGGACTCCTTCCTGGAGTGGGAGGTGCTAGAGGGGCTCCCGCCCAGAGTAGGAGGTACTAGGGGGGCTCCTGCCCAGAGAAGAGGGTGATGGGGGTTTCCTTCCTGGACTGTGAGGTGCTGGGGGGTTCATACCCAGAGTGGGGCCTACTATGGGGCTCTTCCTCAGAGGGTGAAGTGTTGGGGGGCTCCTGCCCAGAGTGGGGGACACTGGGAGGCTCCTCCTCAGAGGAGGAGATGCTGGGGGCTTCTGTCCAGAGTAGGGAGCGCTGGGAGGTTCCTTCCTGGAATGGGAGGTACTGGGGGGCTCCTGCCCAGAGTGGGGGATGTTGGTGGGTTCCTTCCTGAACTGGAAGGCTCTTGGGGGGGCTCTTGCCCAAATTGGGAGCTGCTGAGGGGTCTCTTGCCTGGAGTGAGAGGTGTAGATAATGAGATGTGGGAAGTGGGAGGTGTGGGGTGCGGGAAGGTGGATCACCCCCACCTTCGCCAGCGCACTCCCCATCATGCTGGCTTCTCCCATCCCTGGGACACGGCCCCCCACCGTGTGCTATTGCTGCCACTCCTCCTGCTTCAGCCTCCACATCTTCACCCTCACGCAGACCACGCATCCGCCGGCCTCTGAGGACCTGGCTCCCAGAAGGGGCTGGTGTGTGGGCACTGGGGCCAGGAGTGGGTGCTCCCTGTGCTGAGATGCCCTTGCTTCTAGACCCTTCAGTGGACAGAGCTAGCAAATCCACGCCAGCTCCTGTGTCCAGGATGGGGCTCTGTGGCGCTGTGGTTAAAGCTCTGGCAGCTTGGATGCACTGCTGCTCCCAGGGAGGCAGCCTGTCTCCACCAACTTCCGGCCTCGGAAACCTCTGGGCCCTGCTCCGGCCTCCAGGCTTGCTGCGTGGTCTGCCCGTGATGGACCCGTGCACACACATCTGTCACATCTGTCCCGTTTGTAGAGCTGTGTGTGTCACAGAGCCGGGCGTCCGCCCCAACCCCAGCTGCATTCCCTCCAATCTCCCCTCCTGTCCGTGAACGTCTTCTCCGTAACTTTCTCTGAACTTACGTATTTACTCAGAAGGTGGCTTCCTCGGTCGGCACGTCTGGTTATTTACGTGCTCACTCGTTGTGCCCAGTCCCCCGATCCCCCACCTGCACCAGCACCACAGCCTCATGCTCTCAACTCCCAGGTCCTCCTGCTCATGCTTCTGTACCCCCAGTACCCCAGGTCTTGGGTGGGAGGCATGTGGGGGAGGGAGGCGGACTCTATTCATATGAAATGGGCCAGGCTTGGCCAACCAGGAGCAAGTGGAGTGAACAGGCCAGAGGTGCTGGAGACATCGCCAGAGAGGGGACACAGGTCCGGGCAGGCCCTGAGGATACGGGCTGAGGCAGAGGTCACAGGAGCCTGACAAGGGACGGACCAAAGTCAGGCCACCAGGTGTTCCCAGGTTACAGCCTGGCTCCTAGTCCCAGCTCTTCGGGATTGGGCCTGGGGCCCACCTGTGCCCCATAAGCATGGAAGTGGGGCTGTGCCGTGTCTGGGACCGGAGCCTCCACCCCAGCCCCCAGCACCCCTCCCTCTGTCTGTCTCTGCAGTGAGCTGTGGGCCAGGCACCTACTTCAGCAGCGAGCGTGGCCAGTGCGTGCCCTGTGCCCCGGGGACCTACCAGGACCTGGAGGGCCAGCTCAGCTGCACACCATGCCCCAGCAGTGACGGGCTCGGCCTGGCAGGTGCCCGCAACGTGTCCGAGTGTGGAGGCGAGTACATGGCCGCCGGGAAGCAGAGGGCGAGGGTCAGTCAGGGCTCCTCCTGCGCCCGGAGGCCCCCAGAGCAAAGGCCCAGGCGCCCTGTGCTCTCTAGAGAGCTGCGTTCATTGACGCTCACCCAGTTCCCAGAGCATTTCCGTCTCTGTGCACCTACTACGTGCAGACAACTGCCGTGCCTGAGTCACCTGGTTAGGGGACCCCCGGTCAGTGCTGAGACGGCAGGACCCTCTATGGTTAGGGGACTCTGTGGTCACTGCTGAGGGCCATCAGGGTCCACGTGTTTAGGGGACCTGTGGGCAGTGCTGGTGCAAAGGGAGCGGGTTCAGAGCACTGACTGAGGTTCGGTCAGCCTCCTTTCATTTCACCAGCAGTCAGGTTTGCAGAGAGCCTTGCTTGACTCTCCCACTCTAAGGTCTGTGAAATGGGCTCCTAACCTCCTTTTCAGCCTCCCTCCTGGCCCCTGTGGTGCTTGTCCCTCAGAACAGGCTGGGAGAGGCTCACCTGAGGGGGGTGGGGTGTGGCCTGAAGCCCAGAAGCCCCCTCCTCCCAGCTCTGTGGGTGTCATAGCTCTGTTTATGTGGGGCTGGAGCTGGCTCTGCTGTCACCTAGTCCCTTCCCCAGCGGTGCCCTGGGGCCAGGCTGCCCCTCCTCCCTCTGCTCTAGGCCAGCCCTGCCAATGGACAGGGCAGTGGGCAGCCTGAACCATGCCAGGCTGGCTCCACTGTCCCTCACCTCCATGAGGTCACAGCATGGCCTGCCCTGGGGGAGCTCCTCTAGACATTAAGCCTTCTTGGTGTGTAAGGTCTTCCTGCCCCAGGACATCAGCAAGGCAACCCTGGAGCGAAAAGTCCTCCATGCTTGGGGAAGGGGAGCAGATAGAAACCTAGCGCGACCACAGCCATGACCTCACTGGGAAGACGACAGGGCTCCACTCAGAGCTCAACAGACTCAGCCCTGAGCCTTTTCGAGGGATGAGTCAGGCCTGGGTCCCCACAGCCTCAGCAGTGGGACCTCCTGCCCAGCCCGTCTGAGCCATGACCTCTGACTTCCAGGCCAGTGCTCTGCCGGCTCCTTCTCCCCAGACGGCTTCCAGCCCTGCCAGGCCTGCCCTGTGGGCACATTCCAGCCAGACGCCGGGCGCACCCGCTGCTTCCCCTGCGGAGGGGGGCTGCTCACCAAGTTTGAGGGCGCCACCTCCTTCCAGGACTGCGAGACCCGAGGTGGGGCTGCGTTCTTATGTCTGTACACACAGCTCTACACAAGCGTGCAAACATACATACGTACGTACGTACATACAGACATACAGACAGACAGACACACCACCTCCTTCCAGGACTCGAGACCCAAGGTGGGGCTGCGTTCTGCATGCGCCCACGTACACAGGTACACACACACACGTTACATAAACACATGACATTTCTGCCCCCTCATCACTTCACACTGCTGTCCCCTACTATCACCTCGCATGTGACAGCCTGTCCCCTCACACATGACGTTCCTGACCTCTCCCACCACCTCACATGACAACCTGTCCCCTCGCCACCTCACACCGGGCAGGGATCCACGGAGTTCTGAGTCGGGCGCTGATTCCGTCCCCTAACTGCTGGTCCCCGTGCTGGGTGTTGACCGAATGTTGGGCCCCACGCTGGGGACAGGCGGTGTGCTGGCCTGGCAGTGATCTGGTAGTAACAGGCAGTAAAGGGCTGGGTAGGCCAACCTGAGACACATGCGGGGCAGAGGCAGCCCATCCCCACACGCCCTGCCTCCACAGTGCACTGCTCCCCGGGCCACCACTACAACACCACCACCCACCGCTGCATCCGCTGCCCCGTTGGCACCTACCAGCCCGAGTTCGGCCAGAACCACTGCATCACCTGCCCCGGTGACACCAGCACCGACTTCGATGGCTCCACCAATGTCACACACTGCAAAAGTAGGTGCTACCCCTCCCCCCCGAGCAGAACAGAGATGGGGCTCCCGGGGGGACAGCCTGCTTCCCTGGGACCAGATGGAGAGACACCTTGGTTCCCCCCAGAGCGAGATGAGGACAGGGCCTCCCTGGGAGGGACGCTCTGCTCCCCCCGGATAGGATGGGGACAGCGGCTCCCCAAGAGAGAACTCCTCTGCCAAGGGGACTGAGAAGCTGGCACAGCCCAGGTGGGGGACCTGGTGGGGTACACGCCAAGGTCATGGGGCTGCCTGCTCCCCTGACCACCTGCGACCCTGCCCTCAGACCAGCACTGTGGGGGTGAGCTGGGCGACTACACGGGCTACATTGAGTCCCCCAACTACCCCGGCGACTACCCAGCCAACGCCGAGTGTGTGTGGCACATCGCACCACCCCCCAAGCGCAGGATCCTCATCGTGGTCCCCGAGATCTTCCTGCCCATCGAGGATGAGTGCGGGGACGTGCTGGTCATGAGGAAGAGCGGTACGCCAGGGCGAGGGACAGGGCGCTGGGGGACGGGGCACCAGGGCGAGGGACAGGGCACCTCCAACCTCCACCTGCCCTCCTCCAAGCAGAAATGGGGATGTGATGGTCATGAGGAAGAACGGTCCACGCAGGGCAGGGAACAGGGCACCAGGGATGAGGGAAAGGGCACCAAGGATGAGGGACAGGGCACCATGGCAAGGAACAGGGCACCAGGGTGAGTGACAGGGCATCAGGGCGAGGGACAGGGCACCAGGGACGAGGAACAGGGCACCATGGTGAGGAACAGGGTGCTGGGAGATGGGGCACCAGGGCAAGGGACAGGGCACTGGGGGACGGGACACCAGGGTGAGAGACAGGGCACAGGAGACAGGGCACGGACATCTTCTCCCTCCACCCGCCCTCCTCCAAGCAGAGATGGGGATGTGATGGTCATGAGGAAAAGTGGTTCACACGGGGCAGGGGACAGGGCATCAGGGACGAGGAACAGGCACGGGGGACAAGGAATGGACACCTCCTTTCTCTACTCGCTGTCCCCTGAGCACAGAGGGGACAGAATCACACGAGATGACACAGGTACCTCTGGGTACTCAGAGCTCTGCAGAAAAGTCATCAGGTGTGGGCAGACCCAGGCACAGCCCGCAACCCCTCAGCCACAACCTCTTGTCCCAGTTGTCCTGCCAGTGGCCGAGCCCCAGAAGCAGCCCGTACATGGGACCTTCTTCCCTCTCCCAAGGCTTAGGGGGCCCAGGACCCACCCACCATGCTCACACCAGCCCCGGGGTCTGCTTATCCCAGAGGCCTCTGACTGGACCCCTCCCCTTCAGGCCCAGAACCCTGCTTGTCACCCCCCTGCTACCAGGGCTCCCGACAGTACTGCAGCCCATAAAGGGGAAGTGAAGGAATGGCAGCCACCCCACCCTCATGTACCTAGGGACAGGGGTGTGCTCCCCCCACAGCAGCACCTGAGTGCCCAGGGCCACGGGCCACAGGCCCCCCATGAGAGCTGCGGGGAGCCACCAAGTCAGTGTCAGGAGAAGGCAGGGAGCATGCACACACACACGAGCACACGCGGGAGCACAAGCATGCATGCCCGCACACGGACATGTGCATACACACACATGCGAGCACGCGTAAATACACACGGGCACACGCATGAGCACACGTGAGCACAAGCATGTGTACCCACACACGGACACGTGCATACACACGTGTGTGCATGCATAAATACACACAGGCACATGCAGAGCACACATGAGCTCAAGCATGTGTGCCCACACACAGACATGTGCATGCATACACACGTGCAAGCACACATAAATGCACATGCGCACACGTGTGAGCACACGTGAACACAAGCATGCATGCCCGCACAGACATGTGCATGCATGCACACACACAAGCATGCATGCCTGCACACGGACACGTGCATACACACGTTTGTGCATGCATAAATACATACGGGCACACGCATGTGCTCACATGAGCTCAAGCATGTGTGCCCACACAGAGATATGTGCATGCATACACACGTGCAAGCACGCATAAATGCACATGAGCACACACGTGAGCACACATGCGCACAAGCATGCATGCCCGCACAGACACGTGCATGCACACACACATGCATGCATGCATAAATGAACACGAGCACACGCATGAACACATGCACACACACAAGCATGTGTGCAAGCACGCATAAATGTATACGAGCACCTGTGTGAGCGCATGCACACACACAAGCACACACATGCATTTCCATGTACACATGTGCGCACACACATGCACACACACACATGAGTCTATGTGCACACCCCTCCCAGTCCCCATCTCAGCGTCCACCCCTCCTCCTCACACAGCAGGGACAACCTCCACTGGCCAACCCATTGTGCAGATGAGAGGGCTGAGGCCACAGAGGGCGAGTTCCTGCCCGCAGCCAGTCGGTGCCCCTCAGAGCACCCAGGACCACTGCCCCCCCTATTCTTTCACAGCCTCCAGGCTACCCATCTGGCAGGCTGTCCCTCAGGGAGGCCACTCAGGGAGCAGTGAGGGGCCAGGTCATCTTTAGTCCGTCCCCGCAACTGGGGCCAGGAGATGCACCTTGTCTATCCACTTACAGGGGACCAGGATGCAGGGGCCCAGTCCTCCAGTGTGTCTCACCCCTAGTCCTAACATGTCTAACTGACTCATCTCCCACGTCCCCTCCTGAGCCTCTACCTGGTCCTTGATGAGTGCAAACACAAGCCCCTGCCCTTCAGAACTGGAGGACAATGAAAACATGACAGAAGAGACTGTCACAGATTCTCACCAGAACAGGGCAGAAGAATAGGGTGAGAGTGGAGCAGTCAGGAGGGCTCCCTGGAGGAGGGGATGCAGAGATGGATCTCAGGGCAGAGAGAACCTGGGCAGGGGAGATGAGGAAGGCATTAGAGGCAGGGAGAATAAGCTCAGAGCCACAAGGGCTTGGGACTCTTGGGGGGCTTCCGCCATCCTGTGGCTTGGGGGGCGGTGGTGCACTGGCACTCAGCCTGGGTGGCACCCGCAGCCTCCCCCACCTCCGTCACCACCTACGAGACCTGCCAGACCTACGAGCGGCCCATCGCCTTCACGTCTCGCTCCCGCAAGCTCTGGATCCAGTTCAAATCCAATGAGGCCAACAGCGGCAAAGGGTTCCAGGTGCCCTACGTCACCTATGATGGTAAAGCCACCGTGCACGGGGAACATGGGGCCCAGACACAGCCCTCAGTAGGGCCAGATGCAGGCCCTGGAGGGCAAGGGCTGGGGAGGTGACACGTGAGGGGACAATGATGCAGGCTCTGGAGGGCAAGGACTGGGGAGGTGGCACGTGAGGGCACAATGGGGTGTCAGCCCACATGGGGTTCTGAAGACTCTATAGGAGTTTTCTAGGTAGCAAGGTGAGTGCAGGACACCAGGGCCTGAGCCTGAGGCTGCAGCAGGGGAGGGACAGAGACTAGGGTGAACAGGAAGAGCTGGGGTCTCCACCCTGCCTGCCACCTTCCTTCCCTCACAGAGGATTACCAGCAGTTGATAGAAGACATTGTTCGAGATGGAAGGTTGTATGCATCTGAGAATCACCAGGAGATTTTGAAAGTGAGTTTCCTTATCAAAGGGGATCCCTGTAATCTCTGCTTTCTGAAAAATGAGGGAGGAGGAGGGTGCTGTGGGGCGAGCTGGCAGCCCAGCCCTCAGGAGACGCCTGGGCCCCTCTGGGCCTGGCCTCAAGGCTCCTCACTGGTCCCACAGGACAAAAAGCTGATCAAGGCCCTCTTTGACGTGCTGGCACACCCCCAGAACTACTTCAAGTACACAGCCCAGGAGTCCAAGGAGATGTTCCCCCGCTCATTCATCAAACTGCTGCGCTCCAAAGTGTCCCGGTTCCTGCGGCCCTACAAATAACACCGCTGTCCCAGGGGGATGGCTGGAAACCAGGGCGGGGACGCTGCCTGGCACACCTCCCCGCAGGCCAGGACCCCTCAGCCGTGGGGGACATGGCTGAGACACCTGCCCTCAAGGAACGCTGGCCAGCCCAAGAGGAGAGACCCCCACGGGCTGCACCCCTCCAATTCACAGTCAGGAGATGTGGAGCGGCCTGGCTTGAGAATACACCCGGTCACCCTCCACCTGTCTGCTTCCCCCACCTGAGCCTATACTCTCCCGAGCCAGCACTAGAGGGCGCCCTTGAGGCCAGGGGTCTGGGCAGCTGCACACCTGGAATCTGGGGCCCAATTGCACTTGACCTTGACCTGTGCTGACAGAGTGAGGGGGAGCATGGCTGACCTCAGCGCTGGAGGCCTGGACGGGGCCACCAGGAGCTGTCTGTCCACAGGCGGTTATGGACGTTGGTGCTCACGGACACCTCACCCACAGAGCCCTCACCACCGCCGGGGCACAGAACACAGCTCCCACTGTTTACCTCTGAAGGGTTCCTGAGTGGACGGACAGAGCCGCTCGAGGAGGAAGCTGTAGACGTCTGCTTTCCCTCATAGAGCGTCTAATTAAGTACACTATATATATATAAATATATATATGTGTATATGTATATATATATATATACACACACACTTCTATTTGTGGATACATAGGGAAGTTCTCTTTAGTCTGTGTAAATACCACTCCTCTCCCACGTGGGAGGTAAGGCCACCATGGAACCACACACATGGGAGCTGCCCCTGTGATGGACAAGGCAGGCGCAAGGATTGGGGTGCACATGGGAGCCCTCAGACGCTGGACCCTAGGCTTCAAGCTTGGCTAGAGTGGGGCCTGACCCGCAGAGGGGCCCCGGGGAGGGCGGCCTGACCAGGCAGCTGCCAGAACACACACAGGTCAGTGCAGGGGGCCTGTGCCCCACCCAGCTCCACGTGAGCTGGGCGTCTGTGAGGTGCCCACGCGCCAGCAGCAAGCCAGGGTGGGCTTCTGAGCGTGAGGGTGTGTGGGCACAGGGATTGCGGCGGCAGCCTCACCCCAACACCTTACAGCAGAGGAGAGCAGGCCAGAGCAGCGGGCCTCCGTCACTCAGCCGGCTGCCACGGCACAGCAGCCCTGGTCGTCTGGAACCTGCCCCCATAGAAGCGTCACTTCGCTTCTTCACAAAGCAGGTTCCAGTCAGGAGAAACGTCAAGGACGTGGCCACGCTGTGCTCAGACAAGGCCCTGCACCCAGGGGAGCTGGCTCAGACCCCACTGAGGCTTGACCACGTGGACATGCTCTCTGACATGCAGGAAGAGGACATGAGGTGACCGGACACAGGGATCCCTGTCCCCACTCCTGTCACTGCAGCTGGTTTCCAGCCCTCGGTCAGAAGTGGCCTCCGTCCAGGAAGCCTCAGGCACCGTGGACGCCCTCAGTCAGAAGTGACCTTAGTCCTGGGAGCCTCAGGCACTGGACAGTGGAGGGAGGTCGCAGGAGATGTGGCCTGGCTCAGGTGACAAGCCCAGTAACATGTGTTCCAGTCCAGGGAAGGGCCTGGGATTCCAGAACCTCTCCTGCCATGGGGCGTGTCAACAGCTGCTGTGTCCCAGCGGCCTCCAGCAGGTAGGGGTGCAGTGACCCTCCTGTGCACTGTCCCAGCAGGCCAACCTCTGTTCCCAGGAGGAGGCTTCACTTTGCCATCACCCCCAGGAGCGAGCTGAGCCCCCCAGCATCACTGGGGGGCTCCCACAGTGGGGCCTAGCAGGGGTGTCAGCTTTGGGATGGGGACTGGCTATGGGCGGGGCCTGCTGAGGCTTTTGCTCCCCTCCGAGAGGACCACTGCAGCACACACAGAAAGTGCTGACCTGGCAAATGTTGTATCTATATTTTTACAACAATAAAAGAGGGGAAACCTGGAGAGGATTTTGTGGCTGCCACAGTCACCCCAAGTACTCATGCCCCAGGAGCGTGACAGTGGAGCCCACGCCCCAAGTCACACACAGGCGCTCGGTGCAGGGGTGCTGTGGCCTTAACTGGGCCTCCCCACCTCCTGCTGCCAAGCCCCTTGAAGCTTGTATATAGGGACCCCTCTGAGGTGTGAAGTTACCAGCTGTCTGTCCAAGCGGTCACTGGGGGCCCCCAGGACTCTAGGCTCATTCACATTCAATGAGACCAGTGGTGACCTGACTACAAGAGGGTGACCAGTCACCCACTGAGAGGAAGAGGGAGCTGGGAGCGATGGGCGACCAGGGGCAGAGGATGCGGACTGAGCACGGTGCCAGGAGCTTCCCAGGAGTGACCCTTCAAAGGTTCAGAGGCTGTGTGCATCTGGAAAAGGCTTCCACTGCCTGGGAGTGCAGGGCCGGGGAGCTGAGTGAGCCCAGCACCCATCCGTCTGGGCCCTTGTCCCGGGCTGCCCTGCTGACCACAGGAAAGCCACAGGTGGGCGCTCCAGAGCAAGGCTCAGCCTGGACCTGCAGAGGACAGAGGTCCAGAGGCTTTAGGGAGCATCAGGCTTCTGGAGCAGCTGGGGGCCTGCAAAGGGAAACTGAGGCAGCCTCCGCACCTCAGGGAGGGGCTGACAGGATGAGAAGAACCCTCCAGGGAAACAGTCAACCTGTGTGCACACCGCTGAGAGGCAGGCAGGACAGGAGAGCCCCCCAGAGGAACAGAGGTGGCCTCCCTGCTCACAGAGGAGGGAGAGGCAGGACCAGGCCCCCCTGAAGCCCCTCATGGAAGAAAGAAGCACCTGGAGGCCGGCTGAGCCCCTGGGATCAGGCCAACTTGTGGAGCGCCCCTCTCTGGCCCCAGAGCCTGCTGCAGTGTGGCCACCCCTGGCCCTCCCTCACCAGGTCCTTGATCCTAAATCACCATTTAGCTCCCCTCCCTCGTCCTGACCCTCAGACCTCCTCCCAGTGGGGGAGCACGTTTCCCCCAAATCTCATCCCCCCTCAAGGTGATAGACCAGGGACATGCTGGCCCCGGCAACACCCTGGCACCTCTATCTGGCCACTGCTTGATTGCATCACTCATGAACTAGGACGTCAGGGCAGAAAGCATCAGGTGACAGCAACAGAGGAGGCCCTGCGCCACCCACCTGACTCCCAGGCATGGCCCCCGCTGAGTGCCCCTCCCCGAAAGCAGCTTCCCAGGGCAGCAGTGCCCACCAGGCTCTGTGGGGCAGGACACTGGACATCAAAGGGTGCTGCAGTCGAGCACGTGTATGAGCTAGTGTTGGAGACCCACCAATGCCCCAAAAGAATAAAAAGTTCTTGAGAGTAATTCTGGGAAGCATTTACTGAATGCCTACTGAAGAGCAATGACATCAGGCTGGAGACTAAGGGGCACCTGATCCAGGCTATAGTCTTTGCAATTACATGCTAAGCATCCAAGAGCTGGACAGTGAGTAGGGATGATAGAAAGATAGTTGATGCCTTTGAGCTTTGGTGCTGGAGAAGAGTGCTGAATATACCATGGACTGCTAGAACAAACAGGTTAGTTCTAGAGAGGATGAAGCCAGGCTGTTCCTTGAAGGCAAGGATGCTGAAGTTCGTCGGATATACTTTGGGCGTGTTTCAAGGAGGGACCAGTCCTTGGAGAGGGACGTCATGTTTGGGAGGGTGGAGGGACAGCGCAGGAGAGGAAGACCCTCGATGAGATGGATCGATTCAGTGATTGGGGTAATGGGAACAGGTGTATTGGAGACAGCAAGGTTGGCACAGGATAGAGCAGGGTTTAGGGCTCTTGTACATAGGGTCACTATGAGTTGCAAGTGACTCGACAGCACATAACAACAAACAACAACTATGTATGAGACTCTGAGTAGATTAAGAGCCACTGCCCACCGTCGTCCCCGCCCCCAGCCCCAACCCTTTGGGCTCCCTGCACCAGACACAGCACCTCGGCTCTCCAGGGCAGCACAGAAGCCACAGGTAGCACCACAGGGTGTGGGGTGGACCCAGGAGATGAAATGACAACGTCAACCCTTCAGAAAGTCATTGATCTTGTGACGAACTTACCGAAGAGGATAAAGGCAAGAACTACGAGGAGGCCCTCCGGCTCTCGCAGTGTGCCATGGAGTGTTTCCTGCGCGCCATCAAGTGTGAGGCACACAGCGACAAGGCCAAGGAGAGCATCCGAGCCAAGTGCATGCAGTACCTGGACCGGGTGGAGAAGCTGAAGGATTATTTACGGAACGAAGAGAAGCATGGCAAGAAGCCGGTCAAGGAAAGCCAGAGTGAGACAAAAGGCAGCGATAGTGACAGTGAAAGAGATAATCCAGAGAAAAAGAAATTGCAAGAGCGGCTGATGGGCACAGTGGTGATGGCGAAGCCTAACAGCTGGTGGAATTATGTGGCTGGGCTCGAGGGGGTCAAGGAGGCCCTCAAAGAAGCTGTCATTTTGACAATTAAGTTCCTACACTTGTTCACAGCAAGCACATCCCGTGGTGAGGGATACTGCTCTTTGGACCCCCTGGCACAGGGAAATCCTACTTGGCCAGAGCAGTGTCCACAGAAGCCAACAACTCCACCTCCTTCTCTGTGTCCTCCTCGGACCTGATGTCTAAGTGGTTGGGAGAGAATGAGAAGCTGGTGAAGAACCTGTCTGAGCTGGCCCGACAGCACAAGCCCTCTGTCACCTTCATCCATGAGGTGGATTCCCTGTGCGGGTCCCGAAACGAAAACGAGAGTGAGGCTGCCCGCAAGATCAAAACAAGAGTTCCTGGTCCAGACGCAGGGGGCGGGGAACGACGACGATGGGACCCTGGTTCTTGATGCCACAAATATCCTGCGGGTATTAGATTCAGCCACTAGGAGGAAGTTTGAAAAGCAGATTTACATCCCGTTGCCAGAGGAAGCTGCCTGGTTCCAGATGTTCCGGTTGCACTTGGGGAGCATGCCCCACAGCTTCACAGATGCCAACATCCATGAGCTGGCCCGGAAAACAGGCCACTCGGGTGCAGACATCAGCATCACCGTGCAGGACTTTCTCATGCGGCCCGTTCGCAAAGTACAGTCGGTAACACACTTGAAGAAGGTCTGCGGCCCTTCCCGCACCAACCCTAGTATCGTGACTGGTGACCTCCTGACCCCGTGCTCACCAGAAGGCCCCGGGGGCTATGGAGCCGACCTGGATGGACGTCCCTAGTGACAAACTCTTAGAGCCTGGGGTTTGCATGTCAGGCATGCTCCGGTCTTTGGCCACCACTTGGCCCACTGTGAATGCCGACGACCTTCTGAAAGTGAAGAAGTTCTCAGAGGACTTTGGATGAGAGAGTTAAAAGCTTTTTCACCTGGTGGCGGTGACGTTGGGAGGCTGACTGGGGAAATCCACAGTGCTCCCCATGCAGGTGGTCAGGCAGCTCCCCCTCCGCCGTCTGGCTGTTAGCAGTGAGCAGGCAGGGTCTCCCCGGCCGGCCGGGCTGCAGAGAAAGTGGAAGCACTGGGCTCACACAGGAAGTGGCTCCTCCTCTCCGGAATGCTCACTAACCTCTTCTGCCGCCTTTTTTTTAAAAAAAAAACCAACAAACAACCTACCCTTTTATTCTCCCAATTTAATGCTGCTTGAATATTTGTCTTGTTTATAAATAAAATTACCTGGAAACATTAAAAAAGAGCCAGTGCCCCCCACAGATTTCGAGAATGAGCACAGGTCGTGACGCCGTTGATCAGAGCGATGAAGTAGACGGAGGCTGGACTGGGGGCCACACAGAGGCCCTCATCTCTACTGATGGGGGTAATCAGCAGAGAGACTCCTCCTCCAGCCCCGTCTCAGAGCTCAGTGAGGACACTTCAGAGAATCAGTGGCAGGAGAAGCAGGACAGACACAGGACATGCCACTGACACTGGGGCACTTGGGGGGGCGGGGTATTCCATACACAGGGCAAAGGGGGCGGGTGTCCAGACACCAGGACACTGGGGGGGGGGGAGCGTCCAGACATCAGTGCACTGGGGGGGACAGGGCATCCATGCCACAGACACATGGGCACTGGGGGGGGCAGGGCGCATCTAAAAGGTGCTGCAAACAGCCGAGGACAGGACCCTGGCACAGTGGGGCACACACAAGCAGTTGACTCCAGCTGTCCTGTAGCCCAGTCCCAGCCCCCCCACTCCTCACCCAGGTGGCCCTCACCAATCCTTATGTTAAGTGCCATCAGTTCAAGTTCAGTTCGTAACCACCCTGTGAACAACAGCTCTGAACCCCGTCCTGTCCTGTGCCATCCTCACCGTCTCTGACACACTTGAGCTCATCTCGCTGAGGATTTTCCTCTCCTTTGCAGACCCTCCACTTTTCCAAGCACGACATTCCCTTCCAAGGAGTAGCTTCTCCTAACAACATGCCCAAAGTATATGAGACAAAGTTTCTCCATCCTTGCCTACCCTATTACCCCAGTCACAGAAACAATCCACTTCATCAAGGGCCAATTATAGATGAGGTTATAACAGCTATAGTTTGCTTGGCTCCACAATCAATACTCTTGGTACCAGCAGCCAGGAAATTAAAAGGCGAATTGCATTGGGAAAGTCTGCTGTCAGAAACTTCTTCAAAGTACTGAATAGCAACGATGTCAGTCTGGAGAATAAGGTGCTCCTGATCCAGGCCATAGTCTTTGCAATCACTTGCTATGAGACAGAGAGCTGAACAATGACTAGGGATAATAGAAGGAGAATTAATGCCTTTGAGCTGTGGTGCTGGAGAAGAGTGTTGAATATACCATGGACTGCTAGGAGGATAAACAGGTTCATCATGGAGAGGGTGAAACCAAGCTGTTCCTTGGAGGCAAGGATTCTGAAACTTTGTCTGACATACTTTGGACATGTTGCAAGGCGGCACCAGTTCTTGGAGAGGGACGTCATACTTGGAAGGGTGGACTGATTCAGTGACTGCGTTAATGGGGGCAAGTGTGTCAGAGACAATAAAATTGGCACAGGACAGAGCAGGGTTTAGGGCTATTGTACATGAGGGCACTATGAGTCGCAGGTGACTTGAAGGCACTTAACGACAACTGAATACCCTTTGTCAGAAGAACAAACAGGTATGTTTTGGAGGAAGGAAGTGCACCCAGGGCGCTCCTTTGGTGACACTTTGTCTCATCTATATTGGATGTATTGTTAGGAGACACCAGACTTTGGAGTCAGACATCATACTTGGAGAGGTGGAGCATACGCACAAAAGAGGAGGGTCCTCCTCAAGAATGTCACAGATGTTGAGGATGGCACGGGGCTCGGGATGGAGCAGGGCTCAGATCCGTTGCTCATGGGGTGCCTGAGTCATAGAGGAATGGGAGTCGAGTCATAGCTACGCCCTGGTAGCAAAGAAAAGTTAACTCCTCTAAGGTGGCAGATGTGGGCTCAAATGTGTCAAGAGACTGTGAGGATGAGACAGAATAGGTCAGGATTCAGGTCTGTTGTTCAGAGAGCAGCTTTGAGTTGAATTCGACTTGATGACATTTTATTTTTATTATTATCATATTTTTGTGTTGTTATGTGCCGTCGAGTCCCTTGCAACTCATAGCGACCCTACGGACAACAGCCCTAAACCCTGCTCTGTCCTGTGCCCATCACACTGTCTCCAATACACCCATCCCAATTACCCCAGGCACTGAATCAATCCACCTCATAGAGGGTCTTCCCCTCCTGCGCCGTCCCTCCACCCTCCCAAGCATGATGTCCCTCTCCAAGGACCTGTCCCTCCTTGCAACATGTCCAAAGTATGTTAGACAGAGCCTTAGAATCCTTACCTCCAAGAGGCAGCCCGCTTTGACCCTTTCCAGGATCATTCTGTTTGTTTCCCTAGCAGTCCATGGTACCCTCAATACTCTTCTCCAGCACCACAGCTCAAAGGCATCAATTCTCCTTCTATCCTCCTTAGTCATTGTCCAAACCTCTGATGCATAACAAGTGATAGCAAAGACCATGGCCGGTATCAGACGCACCTTAGTCTCCAGAGATACACCATTGCTCTTTAGTACTTTGGAGAGGTCCCTAACAGCAGACTTTCCCATCACAATACGTCTTCTAATTTCCTGGCTGCTGGTACCAAGTGTTGACTGTGGAGCCAAGCAAACTGAAGCTATGAACAATCTCAATCTCTTCACCATCCATCCTGATGCTGCCAATTGGCCCAATGATGAGAATCTTTGTCTTCTTGACATTGAGCCTCAATCCATATTGGAGGCTGCAGTCCTTGACCCTCTGCAGCAAGTGCTTCAGGTCCTCCTCAGTTTCAGCAAGTTTTGTGAATGTACCGTCAAATCGGATCTGACTAGTACAGGAGAAGACTGTCCCTCCTTCTCCAGCAGCGCATCTGGTGGATTTGAACCACTCACCTCTGGGGTTGCAGTGCAGCTTCTTGCCACTAGGCCACCAGAGCTGGCGGACTTGATGGTATCTTTTTTCAGGGTTTTTTTTTCCCAGTTTTTTAAAAATAATTTTAATGAGCATTTACAGAGATTTCGGATTTCCATTCATTCATTGCTGCACTTCTCTCCCCGCCAAACAAAGTGTGGTCGGTGCAGGAGGCTGGCCCGGGGCCTCTAAGTCACAGCTTCCTCTTTTTTTTTTTTTTTTTGGCTTGCAGAGATTTATTAACTCAGCAAATAGAGTTTTACACACATAATACAAGAATTATTCTCTAGAGTATTTCTGTCCAAAAAAAACCTAGAATAACACAAAATGACAATAACATATGCTATTTGAAAGTTCTTTTTAAGAAAATTTTAGAAATCAAAATTAATGAAGTTGCATTGTGTTTCATTATATCCTATTTTCTGAAATACATAGCTTTAGAGCCAGAAATCCCAAATTTGAATCCAAGTCTTGCTGCTGGGCAAGCATATTGCAAGTGCTAGATTTTACTTTTAGATGGTCCTCTTGTAATCCAAAGGCACAAAGTAACCACTTCTGAAAAATCTGTTGATTTGAAAATTGTAGAATGAAATTAAATGCATTTACATACTCTCTCCACAATCAATACATTTGGTACCAGCTGTCAGGAGATCAGGAGATGTACTGCAATGGAAAGTTTATAACAGCTTCCTCTTCCGCACAGACTCCTACCACGTGTGACACAGGTACCCCTGCCTCCCAACATGCCCCGGGGCGGTCGTAAGTTGAGTTGGGAAAACCACGTAAAAAATGCTCAACCCGCCCAGCGCGCGTGCGCACACACTGGCAGGTGGTGGTCACTGCGCATGCCCTTTCACGCATGCGCGTCCCCATGTACTGTCTCGGACGTCCCTCACGTGCGTGTCTCTGGGTCGGCGAGGAGGGGCGGGTCCAGGCGTGCGGGGGCGGGGTCAGGGCGCGGGGCGGGGCCGAGCGCGGGGGCGGGGCCGAGCGCGGGGCGGGGTCGGTGGTAGGCGGAGCCGGGGTGGCTGGGTCCCGGGTTGTTACGCGGCTGTAGTGGGCCCTGGTACGGGCGGAAACAGCATGGAGGCCCAGTCGGGCTCCGAGCTCCGGCCAGCGGGGCACAGCAGCCCAGCGCGGACGCGAACGCCCGACCTGACGCCGGAGCGGACGCAGAACGGGGATCAGGGCCGAGAGGCGGAGGCAGCGCGGGACCCGAGCGCGGGGCGGCCGGAGGAGGATGCCCAGGCCCTGGCGGAGTTCGCGGCGCTGCACGGCCCTGCGTTGCGGGCCTCGGGGGTCCCCGAGCGCTACTGGGGTCGCTTGCTGCACAAGTTGGAGCACGAGGTGCGTGCGGCCCGGGGTCGGGGTGCAGATGAGGGGGTGGGTTCTGCGCGCTCTGGGTCAGCCCGGGGGAAAGGGGAAACAGACTGAGGTTGGGCCGGAGCGGCGGGTGGCGCCCTGGAGGACACGTGCTGTCGCGGGGCATGTGGTCCAGGGGAGTTTCAGGCTGGAAAAGTATAGAAAAGGAGGCCTGGGGGCAGTGCAGGTGCCCCGTTTCGGGGAGGTGGAGTGCAAGGACGCAGCTGGAGCAGTTTAAAAGGGAAGTGATTACGCGTGGAGTGACTTGGGGGTCCCTCCAAGGGAGGAGCAGCCGGCTAGGGTTCTGAGAGGCCCCTCCGCACCTCTTGCCCTACCAGTACTTGGGGCTGGGCCAGGGCCGCATTGCGAACAGGAACTCAGTCCAGCTCCGGCTTCCCGTGTGTGCCAGGCCTGGTACCGACTCCTCCACCACTCTACCCAATCCCCACGACAGCCTTGGGAAGGGCAACATTCATCACCCCATTTTACAGCCCAGAAAACTGAGGCTCAGGGACAGGAAATAACTCTCCAAGGTCGCCAGACTCTAGAGCCCCGGTTTGCCTTCCTCTGGATAGGAAGTCCTGCATCCTTACTCAATTCTGGGGTTCTTTCATGCATGGTTCCACACTTAGTGTAAAATATGCCCTGTGGATTAAAGAAAACTCAGGCTCTGGGTAAGAGAGAGGAAATGATTTAGAGACTTGTAGAGTCTCAATTTTTTTTTTTTTTTTAAAAAAAAAAGCTCCACTCAGCTCCAGCCTTTGCTGGTCTGGACCACCAAAGGGAGTCTCTGCTGGCCTGGTGTGGGGTGGACCTAGAACTGAGCAGAAGCACAACCCAGGCCAGCTTGAAGCCCTTTTCCTAGACAGACAGAACTGCTCTGTGGTGGAGGAACCCTGCAACCAAGAGTTGTGCGCCTGGGCCAGTAAACCCAGACCCTGGCCAAGTGAAAGCCCAGCCTCTCTGAGCCAGTATCTCCATTTGACCAAGCACGCGCAGAGGCACTTTTTGTACACAGTAAAGTTCAAGCCCACTTGTCATCAAATCCGTTCCAATGTGGAAACCCTTTGGGAAAGAATAAATCTACCCCACAAGGTTTCTGGGAGTTCTGGTGACTTAATGGTAAGGAATTGGACTATCAACCCAAAGGCACACAGTTTGAATCTGCTGGATATTCTGTGGGAGAAAGATGGGCAGTCAACTCCTGTGTGATTTACTGCCTCTGAAAACCTGCTGGAGGGTCCGCTATGGGTTCGTTTTGACTCAGTGGTAACCAATAACATAGAGTTTTTGACGCTGTGAGTCTTTCATGGAAGCCAGCTGACTTCTCTATGCCCCATGGAGCTGTTGGTGGGCCCAGATCTTTAATGGGTTGGTGGTGTGTGCCATCCGTCTTTGTCTAGTGGCCAGAAGTTAATACTCCTGCACCACAAAGGCTCTCCAAACACAGATGCATGTGTGCGCACGCAGACACACACACAGAGGCTGAGCCCACCTCCCCATGTGTAGCTCAAGGGTAATAGCAGAACACCTGGCTTTGGAGTGGCATGAGGAATGTGAGCTTTAGCCAGGGCTCAGCCAGCACTCAGTGGGCAATGACCAAGTTCAGCTGCACCCAGGGCAGCCACGTTCTCCATGACCATCCCTGCTGCAGGCCCTGGCATAGGGGCTCTGCTGGCAGGGGTGGGGGCTACTTTTCACACGTTGGCAGGGCCAGTGACACTGGGGCCGTGACTAGGGAAGCAAAAGTGTGTCTGCTGGTACCCCACCTCTGCGCAGCTGCACAGCACCACCTCATAGATGCTCCCTGAGTCCCAGCGGGAAAGGGATGGTGGCTGCTGCACCCCACAGAGCAGTCAAGTAACTTGTTGGAGAGAGGGAGATTCTGGAGCTCCAGAATCTTCTCCAGCCAGCGCTGAGCTGTGGCAGACACGCCATGGGAGGGACAGGCTGGAATTGGGTCTGCTTTCCAGAGTGTGAGGAACAGCTGGCCTGTCAGCCTTGCTAACCACACTGGGCTTGTAACAACCCTAGTGAGGACATGTGGAAGGCCAAGGCCCATTCATCCCTCCTGGATAGGGGACCCAGGCCACCTCAGAGCTTGGGCCTCAGCTCCTGCAGCTCAGGGCCACACTCTTCCCGCAGAGTGGAGAGTAGCTGGCGGGGAAGCCTGTACCCCTCATGTTGCCTCAGTTTTCATGGTTTGGGGCTGGATGTTTGGTGAAACGGATATGGGTTGAGGTTCTAGTGCTACAGGATGCCAGTTCGTTCATGCCCAGAGTGGAAGCATACCTGCCTTGGGGACCTGGTTTCCCCAGAGAACAAGAAGCCCCACATGGTACCTGTAGCCATAATGCCCCAGGTGGTGTCACAGGGGGAGGAGCACTGGAGACCTGGACAGCAACACTGGGGTGGATGGCAGGCGCTAGGGCAGACAAGGACCATGTTGAGGCTCTTGGAGCCTCAGTTTCCCCACCTGGGATATAATGTGTGGGAGCCAGGCCTAGGGTCTTGCCCTCTGAACGGGTTTGCTTTGTCCTCTTGGCCTAGGGGCAGCTTCCTGGGTTAGCTGCAGTGATGGGACGCTGTGGGTGAGCATCCTGCCAACAGCACCCGCTGACCGATGCCTTGGCCCCCAGGTTTTCGACGCTGGAGAGATGTTTGGAATAATGCAAGTGGAGGAAGTGGACGAGGATGAGAGTGAAGAGGCGCGGGAAGCGCGGAGGAAGAGGCCCAACCCCGGGGGCGAGCTCTGCTACAAGGTCATCGTGACCAACGAGGCGGGGCTGCGGGCAGATGACCCCAACAGGTAAAGGAGCTAAGCTCTCGGTGCAGAGGGACTCGCCAGCGGGCAGGGCAGTGCTGGGGTTAGCGCTGTCGCTGCTAAGGCGCATGCGCAGCACAGACGTGCAGCCTTTCCCACGCTGGGGTTAGAGCTGTCGCTGCTAAGGCGCATGCGCAGCACAGGCGCGCAGGCTTTCCCACGCTGGGCTTTGGGGGCGAGCAATGGCAAAGGGCAGCTTTGGCGCACGCGCCTTACGTGGCACCTGTCCAACTGGGCCATGCCTGCAAGCTGGTCAAGCAGTTAACACCCTCGGACACTAACAAATCACTGGAGGGGCCAGTCCACAGAGCCGTTATGAGGAAGAAAAGCCTGGCAACATCCCACAATCTGACGCATATAAGATCACCAGGAGTCAGGCTGACGGCAACTCTTTCTAGTGTTGGTTTATTGTGGTTTTGCTGGTGTTTTACCAGAAAAGTGTAAGAATTATAGTTCAGTGGGTCCTCCACAGGCTAGACTCTGGCTTTCTGAGGCAGGCAGAGCTGCAGACTCTCTGCAAAGGGTCACTGGCCCCACGGAAGGTTCTATCCCCTGCAGGGCCTTTCCTGCCTCCTTTCCCACCTGGACCAGTCACAGGCGGCTGCCTCACCCATGCTGTGACTCAGACTGCTGGCTATTCTGTCCTACCCCGTGAAGGCCCTCACCCTCCCAGCTCGCCTGACTCCTCACGTCCTGCACTGGTTTTGGGGTGCCACATGGGAGTCAGAGGCAGGGTCTCAGGTTGAGGGCAGGAGCTGGAGCTGGTGTGCAGCCTGAGGGGTAGATCCTGGCATTTGGAGCCCCTCTCTAGTCTGTAAGTAAAAGGGAGAGGTAGTGTCCACTGAACAGAGTTCAGTGCAAGGCGTTGTCCACGTGTCATCTGAGAATGTTCCAGAAAACCCCAGGACACCCCATGTCTTCTAGGGGAACCTGCCTCTGGGACGCTACCCAGAGAAGGTCCACCCGCCCCACAGCCCTTTCCTTCTGGGCCCTTCTGCGTCCTGATCTTTGTTCTTTTGGGATCCTATCCGACACCAAGGGCCCAGCTCCCTGCCGTGGTCTGCATAGGAGCAGAGACCTGTAAAACACACCCTAGTTCTGTCTGTCCTGACTCATTACAGTCCTGTAGACAGGCTGGGACTGCCCCGGGAGGTGTCAGGACTGAGATCTAGACCATCAGATTGCCACATCTTTCTCCCCAAGAGCAGCTGGGAGGGTCGAACTGCCAACCTTTCCTTTAAGAGCTAAGCACTTAAGCAGTGCACCCACCAGAGCTTAAGTGTTCTTAGCAGCGTTTTAAGTGTGAGTTACAAAGAAATCCAACGAAGGTACGTGTGAGTTAAGACGGCTGAGCGCCCATCCTGCACACAGGATTCAGATTCAGGGGGGATCAGCGGAGCGAGCGAGGCTGTTGGGCCACCAGCCCCTGTGGCTGCAGAGGGCCTCTGTCCTCAGGGTGCTGGGAGTCCTCATTCTGCTGTGGACAGGAGGGTACCGCTGGGGGGCGTCAGCATCCTCCCACCGACTTGGTGAGAGCCGAATGGCTGGCACCTCGGGGGTCTTGTCAGGCTGCAGCGTCCACTGGGGTTTGACCTCCAAGCTCTCCCGGCAGAAAGGTCCTGGTGCTGTCAGGTCCAGTGTCCTCACACCTACTTGATGCCTCACCTGTGTCCTTGGGGCGATGGGGAAGGAGGAGCAGTGTCCACCCGGCCTGCATCTCAGACATGGCGGGGACACTTGGAAAGCACCGGGACTGCACCCTGGTGGTGTGGTGTTTAAAGTGCTAAGCTGCAAACTGAAGGGTCAGTCCTCTGAGCTTAGCAGCAGTTGGCTGGCGAAAGATGAGGCCGTCTATTTTTGGGGACACTGGGCAGTTCTTGTCTGCCCTCCAGGGTCGCCGTGCATCAGGAGGAGGTGGCAGCTGCAGTGGGGACCTGGTTTCCCTGTGGTCCTCGAGGCACAGGCTACATGGCTGGCACACTGCATGTGTTTCTCCTTCAGCCCTTGTATCGACTTGGTGGTGGAGGTGGGGTGAGAAGACGGAGTGGACCCACTGGACATAGGAGCCCCTGCAGGGTGGAGCTGAGGAGAACTGAGGCCCCATTCTACCCACAGCCCAGGCCCCAGCGTCTGCCCACTTCATACCCACTCGCCCCACCCCCACAGCATCTTCCTCATCGACCATGCCTGGACGTACCGTGTGGAGCACGCCCGCCAGCAGCTGGAGCAGGTGCCCGGGCTGCTGCACCGGATGGCCAGCCTGATGGGCATCGAGTTCCATGGCGAGCTGCCCAGCGCCGAGGCCGTGGACCTGGTGCTGCAGGAGATGTGGAGATTCAACCAGACATACCAGCTGGCCCACGGGGTGAGCGGCAGGTGCCAGTAGGGGCTCCGTGCTGGGGCAGAGGTAGAAACCCTTGTGGTGTTACCTCAGAACCAGATGTCGCTGGCCTTTGAGCTCATAAGATGTGACCCCCACCACCCCCCACCAGACCCCTCATCTCGGGCTCAGGTAGCTTATCTGCCCCTCTCTTGGCCTCTCTGGCTGTCGGACCTCCAGCCCCCACCCCTCCATGCCCTTGCACACAGGGCTTCCTATGGGGAGACTCGTGCTGGTGTCTCATGACCCAAGCATAGGTGATGCCTCCTTCAGGAAGCCTTCCCTGAATGCCAGCCCTAACCCCACCCACATTCAAGAAACCAAGCCCCTCCCTGTAGGTGCTGGTTTCCCTTGGACTGCAGACCACCCAGGTCAGTGTCCTGCTGACTGGTCAGTCGGGGCAGGGCTTGCCTCTAGGTACAGGGATTGAGGGTGACAAACATCCTAACTAGAAAGCTAGTTGCAGACAGGTAGGGTGCAGGGACGGGAGAGCAGGCAGGTGACGCCGTGTGCTCCCCCAGACAGCCGAGGAGAAGGTGCCGGTGTGGTATGTCATGGACGAGTTTGGCTCACGCATCCAGCACGCCGACACACCCAGCTTCGCCACGGCCCCCTTCTTCTACATGCCCCATCAGGTGGCCTACACGCTGCTGTGGCCTCTCAGGGACCTGGACACGGGCGGTAAGTGGACGCCACCACCGCCAGAAGGGCGGGCCTGGGTCCGGTTCCCACCCCGTCCCTGATGGTCCCTGATGGCTTCTCTGGTGCAGAGGAGGTGAGCCGGGACTACGCCTACGGAGAGCCTGACCCACTGGTGCGGAGGTGCATGATGCTGCCCTGGGTGCCCGCCGACCTGCTGGACCTCAGTTCCTCCACACCCGAGCCCCCCGAAGCCTACTACCAGGTGTGGCAGCAACCCCTGACCTGGCCTGTCCACTCAGCTGGCTTCTAGAATGCTCTCTGTCCACTGACCCAGCAAGGCTGACTCTCGGGCCCAATCTGGTTACCACAGGAAGTCGGGGAGAGACTGGGGAGCAGGTGAGGGGCTCAGGACAAGCCAGCCTCTGGCTTCACAGCTTCACCTCAGGCCCCAGAGCTGAAACCATGACTGGGACACTCGGGGGTACCTTGGGGGGGCTCTGCCATGGGGCAGAGTGTCCCCATGGTCACAGCGTGCCAGGCAGGCAGTGTCGGGCTGAGGATGCCGGAGGCCCCGGGTGTTGTGCTGGCAGCTGCAGCACATGTGAGAGGCCCTCCCTGAGATCTGGGTGTCTTCAGGTTCTGGCACGTGTGGTGGCCATCCCTCACATGTGCCACGTGTGGGGGCATGGGACCAAGTGCCCCTGTCTCTGAGGTCAGTCCTATCCCTGGTGTCCCCTAGACCATTCTGGAGGAGAACAAGGAGAAAATGCCACAGGCCATCCAGCCACCAGTGTACCCCGATGACCACGTCTTTAAGTAAGTCCCTTCTCTGACCTGGCTGTCACTGTCCTGGGTCACTTTGTGCTGACACGGGCCCACCCTAACCCCTGCCCTTGCTGAATGGAAGAATCATGGCCCCAACTCCTCTTTCTCCTAGGGCACCAAAAAAAAACAAGAAAAGAAAGGGCACTCAGGGGCCAGACCATCTCTTGTGTTGGCAGTGGGAGTAGGGGTTCTGTGAGAGCAGTGGTCATGTGGAGACCCACAGTATAGGGGAAACAGCTGTGTACCCCTCACTGATGAGAACGTGAAGGTGCAGGGAGGGTCGGGCCAGGAGGCAGGCTCCATCTTGGCCTTCTGAGGGCCTGGGTCTCCCCAGGGGTGGGAAGGGGCCACCACCATTGCCCCACGCAGCCACCAACCCCTGAGTCCTGCCTACGGAGAGGTCTCCAAGGGCCCAGGTGGAGCCAGACATTGGCAGCCATGGCACTGCACTCAGTCCGGCTTCTCCACAGAATCTACTCCGACGTCGGACAGGTGCTCAGTCACCTGACCCACCCGCGGTTCACCTTCACCTCCAACGAGGAGGATGCCGACATCCTCTACAACTTCTCCCACTTCAAGGATTACCAGTGAGTGCCCCCATCCGCCATGATTCCCAGCCCAGAGTCTGGGCCTGTGACTCCTGCCTCCCAGCCACACACCCCCAATTCCATGGCCTGTGGCCCCACCAGCAGGCTCTTCCTTAGCCACGCCCCCTAACCCCACTACTTGTGGCTCAGACCATTGTGCCCTGCCCCGCCCTGATGCCACCTGAGGCCTGTGGCTCTGCCTGCTGTGCCCTGCCTCTGCTCCACCCATGGCCTGTGGCTCCGCCCACTGTGCCCCCCATGGCCTGTGGCCCTGCCCACTGTGCCCTGCCCCCTCCACCCATGGCCTGTGGCTCCGCCCACCAAGCCCCCTCCCTCCTCCACCCATGGCCTGTGGCTCCGCCCACTGTGCCCTGCCCCCTCCATCCATGGCCTGTGGCTCCGCCCACCAAGCCCCTTCCTCCTCCATCCATGGCCTGTGGCCCCACCCACCAAGCCCCTCCCTCCTCCACCCTTGGCCTGTGGCTCCGCCCACCGAGGCCCTCTTCCCCCACCCATGGCCTGTGGCTCCGCCCACCAAGCCCCTCCCTCCTCCATCCATGGCCTGTGGCCCCACCCACCGAGCCCCTCCCTCCTCCACCCTTGGCCTGTGGCTCCGCCCACCGAACCTCCTCTCCCCCCTGCCCTCAGGAGGCTGAGCCAGGAACGGCCGCGGGTGCTGTTGAACCAGTTCCCCTGCGAGAACCTGCTGACAGTCAAGGACTGCCTGGCCTCCATCGCCCGCCGGGCCGGGGGTCCCGAGGGCCCGTCCTGGCTGCCCCGCACCTTCAACCTGCGCACCGAGCTGCCCCAGTTCATCAGTTACTTCCAGCAGCGGGAGAGGCGGTGAGCAGCCCCAGAGCCTCAAGACACACACACACACACCACACACACACACACCCCCCACACACACACACACCCCGCCATTCACCTCCCTGTTGCCTCCTATGCATCCGGAGACCAGCATTGGGCAGTGGCTGTATGCACACAGTGGGCACAGGGCTGGTGGCTCGCCATGTGTGCACCACATGACCCTCCCAGGCCAGCGACAAGCCAGTCACTGCCCTTGTGCACCATGGTCCCGCCCACTGCGTGCACCACAGGATCCTCCCAAGTCACTGGTCATTTCCCAGAAGCCACCCCATCACTCAGCAAACCTACTCAGTCCTTGAAGCCCAACACCACTCATCTTCCCTCTACTTCCCCCCTTGGTGTCCCAAGAGAAGCCGGGCGCTGCGTCCTCCCTGCCTCGATCCTGGGGCGACAGGGCACAGGCCCGAGCTGGGCTTAGCTGGTCCTCTGCCCCCAGGGGCGAGGATAACCACTGGATCTGCAAGCCCTGGAACCTGGCCCGCAGCCTGGACACCCACATCAGCAAGGACCTCAACAGCATCATCCGGCACCGCGAGAGCACCCCCAAGGTGGGCCCCACATGTGCACCTCTGAGCGGGTGGGGCACAAGTGTGGGGAGGGGCAGCGTGTCAGCACCTCAGGTGGAGCTGACCACCTGTGGGGCCTTCTGTGTCCTGCCCAGCGCAGGACAGAGCCGTGTGGTCACTCAGGGCTGCACTGTATCCTGCTTAGGGGAGATGAGTGGTGAGGTGGACCAGAGGCTGTCACAGCCTTACGTGGACCCCGGTGTGTCAGAGCAGGCCTGAGCCTCATAGCATGTTCACAGCCTCTCTCTTAGACACACGTCACCAGACATTTCTCTCAGACTGAGGTTAAAGCCAGCCGTGAAGATCAGGGAGGCAGAGGCAGGGCTGGGGGACAGAAGCGTGAGCGCCATGTAGCTGGGCCAGCATGGGCACGGGCACAGGTTCCACGTGGACAGAAAGGCCACAGCCAAGTCTGGATTCCAGTATGCTTGAGGTCCAAGGGCCCCCGACCTCCACACAAGGTCCAGAAGGGCCCCCAAGAGTGAGGTGCCTGCCGTCTGTCCACCAGGTCGTGTCTAAGTACATCGAGAGCCCCGTCCTGTTCCACCGCGAGGACGTGGGGCCGGTCAAGTTCGACATCCGCTACGTCGTGCTGCTGCGGTCAGTGTCACCCCTGCGGCTGTTCGTCTACGACGTCTTCTGGCTGCGCTTCTCCAACCGGTAAATGCGGGGAGGTCCCGTCACCCACCTGGGGCAGGGTTTCGTTCTGGGTAAGACCCCTGGACAAGAGCAGGCCCACCTCCTGCAGCACCCCAGCGTGTGTCTGTGGTCAGCAGGTCACCTGCCGGCCAGCCAGGGCTCGGGCCAGCGTGGTGGGGTAGACGGGGCGCCCATCAGGCCCTCACACCTGTCTGTGTTTGAACCCAGGCCCTTCTCACTCAGTGATCTGGATGACTACGAGAAGCACTTCACTGTCATGAACTATGACCCGGATGTGGTTCTGAAGCAGGTAGGGCCTGCCCAGTCCTCAGCCATGTGGTGGGTGCTGTCTCCTGTGAAGTTGGTTCAGACCTCATGCTGTGTCCAGCTAGTGTGTGCACCCCAGCAGTGCCATATGCAGCTGGGAGACTTAGGTGCCCTCAGATTCTGGGGTTCCTCCCTACTGGTACCCATCAAACACAAGAATAGCAGGGCGGGGGGCACCAGGGAAGTGGTCATCCTGCTGTGGGGGAACGTCTTCTGGGAACGTGTTAGGAGGGAGCTCAGCGTCCAGCTGTACAGCCCCAGGCTTCTCTTGGGCCCCCAGGCCTCTCTTAGGCCCCCAGGCCTGTGGTCCGGCCCTGTCTCTGAGGGTGAAGATCAGGGTACTGAGTGCTTCTTTCTCTGTGTGTGTGTGAGCGTGTGCACACGCTTTGTAGGCGTGTCCACATTTGCCACGTCTCATCAAGGCCAATGTGTTTGGGTTCTCAGAACTGACTTGGGCACGTCCTCCCCAGAGCTTCTACTTAGCCCTGTGCGTTGACCAGTCTCATCTCTTAGCAGACCACTGTCCCTGTAGTCAGCTGGAGTTCAGCTGGGCTTGGACTCAGGTTCTTAAAGGGGCTCTGCCCTGGCCCTGTCTCCCTGGAACCCCAGGAGCGAACCTCAGTGGGTTTCCTGGCCAGTGAACGTAACACTGCTTCACAGGTGGTGGGCTAAGCATTTTACGCAATCACGCAGCTAGGGTCCAGAGCTCAGATCCTGTCTCGCACCACTTGACTGCCCCCTGAGGGCTGCGTGGTCTGGATGTTCCCTGCCTGCCGTGGTGTGACCAGGGCCCACGTCCAGCACGGGATGGGCTCCTCCTTACCCCCCCCCCCCCCCCCTGGTGCGCCTGGAGCAGCCTGGGCAGTGACGACCCCTTGTCTGCCACAGGTGCACTATGACCAGTTCATCCCGGAGTTCGAGAAGCAGAACCCAGCATTTCTTTGGAAGGATGTCCAGGTGCGCCCTCACCTGCCACCCCCCCGGGCTGCGCCCTTGTCCTACAGGGTTGAGGAGTTTGATCCTCCTGAACAGCCCCCGCCCCTGCCCCTCCCCCCCAGAGTGGTGTAGGGGCTGGTGCAGACTGACCATATAGGCTGCGGTGTCGACTAAACCCCGAGAGGTGACTGGGGACATTCGGGGTGGCATGAAGGCCAGGTTTTAGGGTGCAGCTGTGCCTGAGGCGGGAGAACCTGTGCTAGGGAAGGGGGCCAGCAGGTGTTAGTGACCACGCTGTGACACCAGGTTCCATGCCAGTGGGAGAAACGTCAGGGCAACTTGGGGCTGGGACTCAGGAGGGGCTTCATTCCCCTGTGAGGGCTGCTCTGGGAGGCTCATGGCCCCTCACCAGCCCCTGACTGTACCCCACACCCCAGGCGGAGATCTTCCAGGCCTTCAGAGAACTGTTTCAGGCAGCATGCAACAGGCCAGCACCACTGGGCCTCTGGCCCTACCCCTCATCCCGGGCCATGTACGCTGTGGACCTCATGCTGAAGTGGGAGCAGCGCCCCGATGGTGAGTGGGCAGCCCTGTAGTCCCGACTCCCCAGGGCTAGCAATTCTGAGACCCCATCGGTGTGCACCAGGGTCCGCAGACCCCAGGTCCCATCCCCTGCTAGGAGCGTCCTCAGCTGACCCCCTGCTGCCTCCTCACACTTTCCGGCACCCCCTAGACCCTTGCCGGCCTTCCCAGCCCTGCCCGTCCCCAGAAGCGAGGCCTCCCATCACACCTGTGTCCCACCCCCCCAGGGAAGCAGGTCATGCAGCCCCAAATCCTGGAGGTGAACTTCAACCCGGACTGCGAGCGAGCCTGCAAGTACCATCCCAGCTTTTTCAATGACGTCTGCAGCACGTTATTTCTGGACGACCCCCGGGACTGCCACGTCACCTGCCTCCTCTAGGCCGTGCGGGCCTCCCCAGACTCCATCCTCAGGGGCGCACTGGGCTCTTCCCACAGGGCAGGGTGGGGCCAGGGCTGCAGGACTACATGCCCTCACCTCTCCTCACCTCACCTCACTGTGGACTGAGCTAACCTCCCCAAACCCCATCCCCGGGGGGCACTGGGCTCTTCCCACAGGGTGGGACCAGGGCTGCAGGACTACAGGCCCTCAGCACCCCGGATCCTGCAGCACCTCACTGCGGTCACTCCCAGAGGTTTCCAGGCATCAGCAAAAGGGGACGGGGTGGAACATGAGGCAGCAGCCCCCTAGGAGGAGAGGGGAGGCCTGCGGGGGGTAGAGGGTGCAGCCAACCAGGAACCCCAACACCCAGGGAAATGCCTGCCAGGCAGCCCCCGCCTTACTGCCTGAGCCTGGCTCCACCCCTTCACCAGCAGACCATGACGGTTACACACCGTGACAGACACAATGTCACCCCCCCTCCAGTCGAGCTAGATCACAGGCACATGGTGGTGTCCACACACTTGGGTTCGTTCCTGTTGTTTCCTTTCTGGGCACTGTCAACAGAGGGTCACTGAGGGCTGTGGAGGGCCGACACATGCCTGCGGATGGGTCACAGACCCTGTTACTAGGTTCAAGCCCCAGGATGCTGTATTTTGTTACTTTGGTTTTGGGGAAGGAGGTGTGAAGAGTCCAGTTCCTGTTTCCCTGCAGTTTGGAGTCACGCTAGAGGGTGTTTTGGGGGTTTTTAGGGAGCAGTAATGCCCTAGACCCAGCTAGTTAAAGGGCTCTGAGAAGCTGGGGGGACTGGGACTGGTATCCCAGGAGTATTCTCACATGTAGGTGAAGGGAGGCGGTGTGGGGGCTGGTTTGGAAGCCAAAAAGTGGTCCCCTTATAGCAAAACTGGAATGTGTGAATGTCCTGTCCATCTGGCGTGTGCCCGTCCTCCCGCTGGGGCTGCCCTTTGCCCAAATGGATGCATCTGCTGCTGCCCGTACCTCTCTTGGGGTTCTGCCCTGAGGCTGGGCCCCTCATCTCTGGGTTTCTTCTGGGATGCTGTGATGTCCCACTTCCTCTCAATTTGTACTGCAATGAAAGATGCCTTCTTCTTGTACAGCGTCTCACTTTCTCCTCGGGGGTTCCAACATGACACACTTTGCAGTCAGGGTGCAGACTTGGAGAAACGACGATGTAGACTGCCAAGTCCGGTGCTGGCCCATGTGGGTTCCCAGCTCCAGGTTCCTCTCCGTGGGAGGCAGGAGTGGACGTCACCCCCAATGATTTCCAGGGGGTGTCAGAGAAGCTGGGGTTCTCCAGAGTGGGGCCAGTGAAGTGTGTGTGTGCGCGCGCGCGTTGATTTACCTCGGGACAAAGGGTTCATGCTGGTCTGGAGGCTGGTGAGTCCCGAGTCCCTGGGTCAGGCGTCACCCTGGTGCCTTCTGACCCACACAGCTGCTGGGTTGGAGGAATTCAACCTCACAGTCAGTGACGGGCTATTGGCTCTGAAAACCATAGTGGTGAGTTAAATGGGGGTGAAGTCAACCCCAAGGAAACTCCCTCTTCAGCTGATTGGCTGCTTACACCAGGTCACAGAGTGGAAAATGGTTACACTGGGTGGGTGGGTGGGGTGTGATGACGCAGCTGAAAGATAGACAATAAATTATGATGACGGAAGAATAGATGCCTTTGAGCTGAGTACTAAATGTCCCGTGGCCTGCGAAAGGGTGACAGGACCGTCTTAGAAAAGGTGCAGCCGGGGTGCTCCTTGGAGACCAGCATAGTGAAAGTTCATCCAGCGGACTTTGGGAATGTTGGAAAAATGACATCCTGCCCGGAAAGGTGGAGGGTCAGCAAAGGAGGACCCTCAGTGGGTCGGGTTGACACGGTAACAGCCGGCTGGAGTGTGTCGGAGATGAGGACAGGGCAGCGGCCAGATCCCTTGTTCGTAGAGTTACTATGAGTCACCACCCACGCAGTGAGAATCATGACCTGGCCACACCGCAGATCGGGACTGAGGCTGACCCTGTGCTGGGTGGGAGGCCAGGTGGCCTTGCCTTCAGGGGATCTTCTCCCCTGGAGAAGGGGCGGTGATGAGATCTGACTGCTGTGTACCTGGTGCGGTCAGAAAGTGGTCCCAGTGAAACGAGGAGGAGGTGGTAATGACCCCACTTGGAGGCAATAGATAAAAGTGGCAGAGCCCCATCTGCATGAGGGAGGTGGGGTGTCCTGTGCCCCAGAACGGAGGCTCTGGCTGGTTGACTGCAGGTTCCGTTCCAAACCACTTCAGTAACACGTTGCAGTAAAGGAAGTACTTTGTTCTTCTCAAGCTTGTGAGGTAGGCTTGCACCACCCTGTGGTGTGTTAGGCACCTGGTGGTGTCGGGGGGGTCCCGTGTTGGGCTCCACAGAGAAAGATGGGCAGTGTACCTCAGAAGCCTGGCTGGGGTCACGATGAGTGGGACTCGGTGTTAGGGTGGGGAGCTGAGTGAGCACGCAGTTACATGATCTAACTATTGCATTGGAAAAGTCTGCTGTCAGAGACCTCTCTTACTTGTTGAAGAGCAGTGATGTTACTTTGAGAACTAAGGTGCACCTGATTCAGGTCATGGTCTTTTCAGTCACTTCTAGGCATCTGAGAGCTAGACAGTGACTAAAGATGACAGAAGAATTGATGCCTTTGAGCTGTGGTGTTGCAGAAGAGTACTGAACATCCCGTGGACCGCCAAAGTAACAAACAGATGTCTTGGAGAAAGTGCTCCTTGGAGGCAAAGATAACAAAGCTTCATCTCACATACTTTGGCCATGGTGCTAGAAGAGGCTTTTAATTGGAAGGTGGAGGGTCGGTGAAGGAGAGGAAGACCTTCCTTCAACCAGGTGGATTGACACAGTGACTGCGGCAATGAGCTTGAGTGTGTCAGATTGTGAGAATAACACAAGGTAGGACAGGGTTCAGAGCTGTTGTTTGTACAGTTGCCCGGAGTTGCACCTGATGGCACCTAACGACAATGTATATTTGAAATATTGTTAGAGTAACAAAAAGGGACGCAGGGGCGTGAAGCGAGCACCTGCTGTTGGACCTGTTCCGTTCAGGCTCCCTGCACCTTTTGCACGTGGAGAGGGTCGCCCTGAGGGATCGTGGGCCAGGCCAGGCAGGATCCTCACGCAGACATCCACGCAAACGGCCACCCTCCCGAGGTCCTGCGTCTCCACCAGCACATGGGCTCCTGCCAGAAACTGGACAGATGCTCACACAAGGTGTGAGGCTGGCTCCTCTCCACCGATAGGCCTTCCTGGCACGTGTCCACACCCTGGTCACTTCCTGTTTCAAAAATCCATCGGATGCAGAGATTCACAGTGCTGGACGTGTGGCCAGAGAGAATCCCAGGGTAGTGATTGTCCCAGAGAATGAGGATTCCTCTGTCTCTCCTGCAGCATCTCGGCTGGCTGCTGTACATAGTGAATGTCACTGTCCAGAGGTGGTGGCTGTCGTTGTAGGAGGCTCAGGACACGGAGGCATCTCCTTGTTTTGGGAAGGCTCCAAATGCTAGTCATCACCTTCGAGTCAACCCTGTGCACCACAGTTAATGTTCCACAGAGTCTTTGCGAGTAGATCACCAGGCCTTTCCCTCTAGTTTTAGTCCAGAGAGAAAGAAGCCTGTTGAGTGTCATAGCCACACAGAAGTGTTCACTGAGACTGATGGTCCCTGGACTCTGTCGGCTGGAATCGAGCCCAGTTCTGCTACATGATGTTGTTAGGGGCTATCAAGTCGCCTTTATAAACAACAGTTCTGCACCCTGTGTTACCCTGCCCCATCCTCACCACCTGATAGGGTAAGCTCATTGTTCAGCCATGTGTCAGTCCATTTGTTGGAGTGCTTCCTCTCTTGCTATGACCCTCCACCTTTCCCTACATGATGTCCCTCTTCAAGGACTGACCCCTCCTGACAACATGCCCAGAGTACGTGAGACAAGTTCACCCTCCTTGCACTTCCTCCAAGATGCTGGCAGCCCGTGCCCACGGGATGTTCAGTACCCACCTCCAGCCCCACAGCCCTGAGGCATCACCGCTGCTTCTGCCTTCCTGGGTCACTGTCCAGCTTCCAGATGCATTGGAAGCAACTGAAAAGGCCATGGCTTGGATCAGCTGCACCTTAGTCTTTAAGCTGACATCCTGGCTCCTTAGCACTGTGGAGAGGTGCATGGCAGGTGAGAATTCTACCATCTCCGAGAGCCACTATTGCTTTCATGTGGCTGCCTTCCAGCGAGCCTTCCTGGTTCGTGTGAAGTCTCCTCTTGTAACCTGTACCAGCACTGGCTTTCCTGCCCCACCTGCTGGAGCATGAGCTGAGGGCGTGTTTGAACCAGCCACTGCGTGCAGCTGCTCCAGCAGACAGTTTTGACCAAAACCCACTGCGCTTGAGTTGATTCAAAGTCCATAGGACCCAGTGGGCGGTCCCCAGAGGTTACTGAAGGTTATAACTGTCGATGCCAGCAGAGTGCCTCAGCGTTCTCCTGCAGCGCGGCTGGTGGGTTTGAACAGCCCTCCTTTTCATTCACCAAATCCTTGAACTATTGCACCTCCAAGGCTGCTTTTAGACCAAAAGGACTTGGTCTGTGAGCAGTGGCTTCGACAAAACCAACGTGGAGATTGTCAGAGACCTAAAGCCTCTGACAGATGGGGACTTAGCGGAAGCTTAGAAATGAGACCAAGCCACCGGTCATGAAGGGGGGGACGTATCCCAAGGTCGTGAGCTGAAAGTCACAGTGTCATGGCTTGTGTCCTGCTGTGTATCCATTTGTCCAGGTGAGACTTCCTGTGGTCAGGAGGAAATGGGGTGCTGTTGAAGACAGACAAACCTGGGAGCTTATGGTCTGAGCAGAACCAGCCAGGAATCCAGGATGTCCCAAGAACAGTGGGCTTGTGGGTGGCTGCACCCTGGGGGGGCCAGGCCTGCTCGCAGGCGGCACCCTGGCCTCTAAATCAGGAGTGGCGGGGCCTCTGCCCTGGGGGCTCAGGCTGGCCTTCGAGACACAGACCCTAGGAAAACAAAAAGCAGGTCAGGTCCACTGTGACTCAAGGTGACCCGTGTGAGTCAGAGCAGAACTATGTCCAAGGGTTTTCTCTCCGTTTTAATGACAAATTTATTGAAGTGAAACTTAATGCCACACCCCTCAGTCATTTAAAGGGTACGCGCTTTGCAGTAGCTTTGCTAGTATAGTCTATAAGGAGGTGTGCTGCTGACCCTGGGGTGTAGTCTCCAGTGGTTCGAATCCACCAGCAGCTCCACAGGAGAAAAATTCACAGCTTTGTACAACTGTCACCAGCATCAATTTTAGATGCCTTTCATCACCCTACAAAGAAACCCCATATCCACTGTCCATCACTCTCCACTTTCTCTGAACTTCTCACACCCTGGCTGCTCCCTAGAGCTGTCAAGGGCTGATATTTTTAATTTTTATATTAATTTTAATGGAAGTTTACAGAGACTTAGGGTTTCCAGTCATTCATTGTTATACTTTTTCCCCTGTCCACCCCTACCCGCCCCATTCACTCTCCTCCTTGAAAAGAAAAAAAAAAAAACAACACCACCTTTCAATTGTTAGGCAGTCCCTCCCCCCAAGTCCACTCCACTATGCAGCCTTCACTCTGGACTTCTGTAATGACAAGAATACCCATTCATATGTCCCTTTTAAACAGGTATCTCCCTCATCTGTTTCATTGCATACACATCATTCCTCCCCTCCTTTTTTGTCTTCCCTCAACCCTGATGTCCCATTTTACAACAGTGGCTCTATGCAATATTTGTCCTTTTGTGACTGAGATATTTCACTCAGCATAATGTCCTCTAGGATCATCCATTTTCCACAATATTTCATGCGTTCCTTATTTTTCAATGCAGCATAGTATTCCACTGTGTGACTATACCACAGTTTCTCTATCCATTTGTTTGTTGATGGGCACTTGAGTTGTTTCCAGCTCTTTGCTATTGCAAACAAAAAGGCTGATTTTTTTTTTTAAAGTAGACCAGCAGGCCTTTGTCTGAAGTACCCCAAGGGTGGCCTTGCACCCCCAGTTTTTCAGTTAGCAACTGAGTGTATTAACTGTCCTGTGCTCGGTGGTGCAGTGGGCTAAGCTCTGAGGCTCAGCACGAGGGTGGACCACCAACCACTCTGCTGGAGAACATGTGGTGTTCATGTCTAGTCGGTGCAGTTCCCTCAGGCCTGACCATTCCTTGAGGGGGCCTGGTAATGTCTTGAAAAGGCCTGATGAGGGGACTAGATGGCCAGATCCTGACGAGCAGGGCCTGGTCACATACTGGCAGTGTGTGCCCCCAAATTCCTAAGCAAACTCTCATCCCCTCTTAAATCTCAACAACACCTGTAAAAGGAAACTGCTTCTGTCTGCCTGCACGCCATTCTGATCTCTGCACACAGTCAGCTAGTATCCCTCTCCAGTCTACTTAATAAAGGCCTGCTCGTAGCTTGGGACCAGCTGCTCCTCTCTCTATCCCTATCTCTATCTATCTATGCCTCTCTCTCCCCCCCTCCCCCCTTCTCTCTCTGCCTCTCTCTCTCTGCCTCTCTCTCTCCTCTCTCTGCCTCTCTCTCTGCCTCTCTTGCACGCACGCTCGCTCTCCTCCCTGCCTCTCTCCCCCCTCTCTCTCTCTGCCTCTCTCCTCTCTCTCTCTGCCTCTCTCTCTCTACCCCTCTCTTTCTCTGCCTCTCTCTATCTGCCTCTCGCGCACACGTGCACGCTCTCTCTCTCCCCCCTCTCCCTCCCTCTCTCTCTGCCTCTCTCTCGTGCACACTCTCTCTCTCCCACTCTCTATCTGCCTCTCTCGAGCACACGCTCTCTTTCTCCCCCATCTCTCTCTGCCTCTCTCTCTCCCCTCCCTCTCTCTCTGTCTCTGTCCCTCTTTGCTTCCCTCTCTCTCTCTGCTTCTCTCTCTCCCCCTCCCTCTCTCTGCCTCTCTCTCTGTCTCTGCCCTCTTTGCTTCCCTCTCTCTCTCTCTCTGCCTCTCTCTCTCTCCCCCTCTCTCTCATGCGCACTCTCTCTCTCCCCCCCCTCTCTCTGTCTCTCTCTCCCCCCTCCCTCTCTCTGCCTCTCTGTCTCTGTGTCTCTCTTTGCTTCCCTCTCTCTCTCTGCCTCTCTCTCTCTCTCTGCACCCATTGTCATTGCTCTTTTGCTAACAGGTGCCATCAAGCTAACTACTGCTTGGTGACGCTGTGAACAATAGATCTGAATCTTGCTTTATCCTGCACCATCTTCACCTGTGCCCATTGTTATGGGGCTCCTCAATCCATTGTGTTGGGGCCCTCCTCTGACTTCATGATCCTCCACCTCTCCCAGCACTCTCACGATCTCCCTGGTCGCTCTTCCTCCGAGACATACCTGTTCATCATTTTGGCCGTCCCCTCAGTACTCTGCCAACACCACACTTCAAAGACAGTGTTTCTTCTCTGGTCTTCCTAATTCACCATCACACTTTTAAATGTACACGGACAGTCTGAACTCAGAGAGGTTCCAGGCTTGGCAACCCTGCAGGCTGTTCTGTGCTGTACTGCATACAGGGTTGCTGTGTTATTGTTGCTGCGTTATTGTTGCTGCTGCTGTTGTTAGGTCCTGTCGAGTCGAGTGCTACACCCAGCGACCCTGTGAACAGCAGACCTGGACCCTGATCTACCCTGCGCCTCGGCCTGTGTCAAATGCCACAGTGTGTGCTGTGCATGGGGATCTATTCGACGGCCCTGAGATTGGTTTTTCTGGGAGGTTAACCATGTGCGTTCCCCCACCCCCAGGAATGCCCTGAGAGCCTTAGAAGTTCACAGGAAGGATTCACAGCAACCACATTAGGCTTTGTCACTGGTGCACCTCAAACGGCCTGTGTGCCATCTCTGAGGGACGCTCAGGGCTTAGCTAGCTGCATTGAGCCCTGCAGGGTGCAACGTGCTGAGCCCAATAAACACACACACCCTGAACAAATAGGGGCAGCACTGTCAACCAGGCTTCTCACGAGGCTTTCCAAACTGCAAGAGGTGGAGAGAAGGAGACAGCCCTGCAGAGAGCAAACCCCACGCCTACAAAACGGCCATGAGAGTCCGAGGGTGGAAAGGTCCACTTGGATAGTGAGAGTTCATCTCACATACATGGGACAAGGAGACTCCAGTCCCTGGAGAAGGACACTGTTGTCAGGTGTCACCAAGCCGACTGTAACTGACAGGGGCCCTATGGGCAGCAGACCGGAACCCCATCCACGAGGTCTCTGTCATGTCACCGTGGTGGTATGTGCCGTCAAGTCGCCTGTGTACAGCAGCTCTGAAGCCTGCCCTGTCCTGATCCAGTCTCACTGACTCGTACACCACACCTACCCCCGTTGCCCCAGTCACTGTGTCAATCCATCTCATCGGGGTCTTCCTCTCCTTTGCTGTCCCCTCCACCCTCCCAAACATGATGTCCTTCTCCAGTGACTGCTTCCTCCTGGCCACATGGCCAGAATATGTGAGATGGAGCTTCAAAATTCTAGTCTCCAAGGAGAAACTTGGTTTCACCCTAAGACCTATTTGTTTTCTTGGTGGTCCATAGCATGTTCAAGACTCTTCTCCAGCACCACAACTCAAAGACACTGATTCTTCTTCTGTCATCCTTAGTCATTGTCCAGCTCTCTGATGCATTGCCCGTAATTGTGAAGTCCAGGGACTGGATCAGGCACACCTTAGTCTCTAGACTGACATAACTACCACTTTATCAACCGAAAAATCCACCAAAATCCTGCAGGAGGGCAGGGAAGGGCCAGGACCAGGGTGAGGGGTGCAGGGATGGGATGGCCGGGCAAAGGAAGCAAGGATGGGACAGGCCCTGAGAGGGACAGGGACAGGGCAGGGCCGGCATGGGGGGCCTAGGAAGGAGCAGGGGTGGGGCTCAAGGTGGGAGTAGGGAGCAGTGGGCCCAGGGGTGGGATCTGGGCCGGGCTGCTCTGGCCATTTCTCTATGATGATCAGAGAAGTGGAGCATGCCAGGCTGCCTGCGGAGTCGGGGGGCCTCCTGATTCAAGGCTGAGAGGACAACTCCAAACCAGGGTGTCTTCATGTCAACAAGGAGTCCAAGGACTCACAGCCCTCACCGTCTCAGACACCCCACCACCGGGGCGGGTCTGTTGGAATCCCTGTCCTGAGCCCACCTTCATCCACATGACATACAGAGAAGGGAGCTGCTTGCAATCCTGGCAGAACAGGGCTTGGGCCAGACCACTTGTGGAGCCTGCCATCTCTAGAACTTTCCTGAGCCTCTTGGAAGGCTATGGACGGGACCCCCTTGGCCAATGCTGGGGTCTGGCAGCCCAACTTAGTGTGGTTCCCAGAGAAGAGCCCCCACCCAGGGTTTTGGGAGGGTTCTAGGACATGTGAGGAGGCCCCAGCCAGGTCCACATACCCAGCAGCCAGATGTCTTGCAGCAGCCTGGTCCCTCTACCCACAAGGCCAGGGTCCCCCAAGAAAAAGTCACCACAGGGAGAATAAAACTTTATTTTGTTTCTAAAACTCCACGTTCCTCAAAGGTAGTCCTCACAGACAGGAAGTGCACAGACACTGCTTCTCCGGGCGGGGGTCTCAGCAAGGACCGCCGAGGGACGCTGTGGAGACTCAGACAGCACCGGGCCAGTAGCCTGACCGCCACCACCACTCTGGCCACAGTCACCAGCTGGTCGTCCTCATTCTGGGGACCGCCGGTCACTACGCCGGCCACGGTTGTCCCTCCACACACAGTAGTTAAGTGTGGTTGCAAAGGCCAGCCATAGCATGTAGGGGTACAGCAGATGGGCAGCAGAGCGATTCACCCCATGCCAGACCACTGTGGTCGCAGCCGCTGCTCCACTCGTCAGCAGGATGTCCACTAAGGCCTGCAGAGACATGGGGAGAGAGGATGGGGCGCTGAGCGGACAGGGG